CCAGCCTCGGCTGCAGTCTCCACAGCCTTTGGCAATCCCGCATTGCCCTCCCGAAACCCCGGGCGCCTCCTCAGGTGGTTGTGATGTACGGAGGCGGAGGCGGAGGCGGAGGCGGAGGCGGGCGGGGATGCAGCGCCCGGGTGTTCCCGCCTCAGGGCGGAGAGGGCCTGGCTTTAACCAGCGCCCCTGTCCCTTGCAGGACTTGAGAACGCTGGTCTGAGAGGAGTCCCAGGGACCACGTGTGGTCTTCAAGAGGCCTTGCAGCTCTTTAGGTGAGCCCGGCCACGGGAGGGAGAGCAGGGCGAGGTAGCCTCCCTCCTTGGGAAGAGTACGCCTGTTCCTTGTGGCCGCTGGGATGAGGCTACAAGGCAGTGCACAGTCTCCTCAGTCTGGGCGTGTGCGCGCGGCAGGCCCAACCAACTCCTGTCCCCTCAGCATGTTTTCTGGGTAACAATGACTGCTATGTCTCAATTCATTTACGCTGTGGAAACGGAGAATATGTATTATGTGTCTCAGAGCTGCCCTTTCTTGCCTTTGCTTTAGAGGAGACTTCCGCCAAGTTCGATTCTGAGCTGAGTGTCCACTGTCAACAATGAACTGGTGACAATTCGCAGAGGGATTTTCAGCCCTGCTAATTTACGCAGAAAGATGTCATTTGTCTCTAGGTTATTTAGGGGTAATGGATTTCCAAAAACTTTCGATGTTAACATTTTCGGGTCAGGAAAAACACGTTCAGCTAGTTTTCTTACTGAAATTTGAATTTGAGTTAACAGTGTTTTGGGTGGATGAAACCTGCAAGTGGGATAAGTGCCCCCCCTCCACCCTCCCCACCCCCCGTGAGAATACGGTTTTAAAAAAGGGTGGGGGGAGAGCATGGGCAGGTGGCAATCCCTTCTCTTTTCTTTGATCTGTTGGGATTTGGGACACTTATATACAGGCACCAGAGTGTTTTTCAGTCCTCCCGCTGTGATTCTTTTCTCTTTTCTTTTCTTTTCTTTTCTTTTCTTTTCTTTTCTTTTCTTTTCTTTTCTTTTCTTTTCTTTTCTTTTCTTTTCTTTTCTTTTCTTTTCTTTTCTTTTCTTTTCTTTTCTTTTCTTTTCTTTTCTTTTCTTTTCTTTTCTTTTCTTTTCTTTTCTTTTCTTTTCTTTTCTTTTCTTTTCTTTTCTTTTCTTTTCTTTTTTCTTTTCTTTTCTTTTCTTTTCTTTTCTTTGTGTTGGCGTGAGTTTAAGCCACCGGGTCGGGAATCGAACCGCGGTAGACTATATGGGAGTCCAGTGACATAGCCATTACGCCATCTGCTGGTCCCCCTGCTGGGATTCTAACCACAAGGTTAACCATATAGGCTCTGGCTCCCTTAATCATTAGGCCAGGCAGTGGCCCATGGAAAAGAATTTTGAAATCTTACTGGTATTAATTTACATCTATTCACTAAATTACTGAACACACTTTATAATTTGCTTTTTTAAAAAAAAAAATCATTTTATTTGTTATTATTTTTTAAAGTTTGACTAGAGAGAAAGGGAAAGTGAGAAAGCAAGCCTCCAGGACTCAAACCATGTTGGTCATGTGGGAGTTCAGTTCCTTATCCATCGCCATCTGCTGGTTCCTATAATCTGCTTTACTTGGCAGATACTTTTTGTTTGTTTTTTTGAGAGATTTTTTGCTATGGAGTGCGTGTGTTTGCCAGAGAGACAGAGAGAGACAGACAGACAATGAGAAAGTGAGAAATCACCCCTCAGAGGGGATGGCCATGTTGCAACCTCTCTGCCTCCACCCTTTTTTCTAAAGTTTTTTTTCCACAGAGCATGTGCACTCTCCAGAGAGACAATGAGAGGGACAGTGAGAGAGGGGATGGCAACACTACAATCTGTTTTTCTCCATTCTCCTCTCTTGGGATTTTGGGCATGCACACACATGTGCTCAGAGTGAATTTCAAGCTGCCAGATCTGGGATTTGAATTGTAGTCTGCCATATGAGAGTCCAGTGCCTTAACCACCATGCCATCCACTGGCCCTGCCATCCTGCCTTATTGTATGTTTGCCTTTATCTAATTGGAATCATTCTTTTTTTTTCTTTCTTTTTTTTTTTTGAGAGGTTTTTGCTATAGGGCGCATGTGCTCGCGAGAGAGAGAGAGACAGAGAGACAGAAAGTGGGAAATCACCCCCCAGGGGGGATGGCCATGCCGCGATCTCTTCTCCTCTCGGGATCTTGGGCATGCACGCACACGTGCCCGGCATGAATTTCAAGCCAACGGGTCCAGGATGCGAACCACGATCGACTACGTGGGAATCCAGCAACATAGCCATTACGCTAACTGCTGGTCCCTAATTGGAATAATTTTTTAAGTATGCTTTTGAGTCTTTATCTTTGGTTAACTTTGTAACATAAACATTTTTCCTTACTATTAAACACTTCCATTGAATGTCATTATTCTTGTAACAGTATCCAATCCTATGGATATTCTATAATATACCTAACCATTTCTTTTTCAGTGGAATATTTAGGTTAACAAAACAATGAAAGGGGTCTTCAGAAAGTTTCCAGAAAATAAGTATTGTCAAAAGCTATACATGGATTTCAGATTTATTTTTTGCACCAAAATAAACTCATACTTTATTTCCATTTTTCCACAAACTTGTTTTCCCCTTTATTTATGATAGTGTGCCTGTATACACATGAGATGGGGGAGGAAGAGGAGAGAGAAACAGAGAGAAGAGAGAGAGAGGAAGAGAGAGAGAGATGAGTATCTGCTATGGGATCTATTTATGCTGTGATCCCATTCCTCCAGCCTGTTGGATCTTGGGCAATCATATCTGTGCCTGGTGTGTTCCAGGCTGACTGGGTCAAGGATTTTAAAAGTGGTCACCATGTGGGATCTGGCTTCTTTAGAGTAGCACATTACCTCTGCAGCAGAGAGCCAGCCCCATAAAATTTTAAATTCCTTTAATATATTTGTATGTTACTTTATAAAAGATTCTGGTATTTGTTATTACTTAATTTTTTGTCTTAGGAATTTTGTTTTTATTTTAGAGAGGTAAAAAAAGGATAGTTGGGTATCTTTCTATAATGACATAGTGTTTGAATAAATAAGAATTTTAGAGTTCTGTAAATTTTGATTTGTTGCTCTAATTGGACTCTGATACATTTTTTCTAAATAATCAGTTAAGCATTTTAAAGTAGGATATGTAAGAGGCCATATCAGGGTTGCCATTTCTTTTTTTTTTTTTTTTTTTTGAGAGATTTTCACTGTAGGGCGCGTGCGCTCGCCAGACAGACAGAGACATAGAGACAGAAAGCGAGAAATCACCCCCCAGGGGGGATGGTCACGCCGCAATCCCTTCTCCTCCATTCTCCTCTTGGGATCTTGGGCACGCACGCACACGCGCCTGGCGTGAGTTTTAAGCCACCGTGTCCGGGACACGAACCACGGTCGACTACGTGGGAGTCCAGCGACATAGCCATTACGCTAACTGCTGGTTCCCAAGGTTGCCATTTCTTTTAAAAGCTCTTTTAACAAATAATAGTTAAACAAAGGTTTAAGCTTAGTAATAGAAAATAAACATGGATTGTTAGAATATTTTTTAGTATTCATCTTACCTTGAAAGAGAAATGTAGATCTAAAGAACACATGCATGTGTATGTGTGTGAAATCTCTGATTCATGGAGGGAAGCCCAGTTGGAAACTGTGGAATGAAGATTTACAGTAAAAGAAATAAGGGAGACCAGAGGAGGATGAGTTAGATTTAGTCAGTTATTCATTTACTTAATGTAAATTTCTTAAAGTTTATTTCTTCAGTCATAGAGAAAGAGACACGCAGAGAGAAACAAACACCAAACAGGGTCTTCATGCTGTGATCCACCTCTAGTCAGCTAGGAACATGAGCACATGCCTGTCTCCCTGGATGTGCACAGGGAGATATCAGATGTGGACCCAGGACCCTCCCATATGACTGCCACTGTAGCTGGCCTGTTTAATAAAATTTATTGAATGACTACAGTACTTAAAAATGTCAGATGTGGGGACAGCAGTTGGCGTAATGGCTATGTCGCTGGACTCCCATGTAGTCAACCATGGTTTGAGTCCCAGACCTGGGTGGCTTAAACTCACGCTGGGTATGTGTGCATGCGTGCCCAAGATCCCAAGAGGAGAATGAAGGAGAAGGGATGGCAGGTGATTTTTTGCTTTCTGTTTCTCTGTCTCTCTCTCTGTCTTTCTGGTGAGCGCATGTACCCTCTAGCAAAAACCTCTCCCGAAAAATAAAAAGTCAGATATGTTTATGTATGCTCTCAAGTTTAGTTCTTATAACAACTCTATGAAGTAGGAATATTGTTCCTTTTTTAAAGATGAGGAAACAGCCTCAGAGAAGTTAAGGAAACTACTTCATATTATGCATATAATAAATTGTAAATTCAATCCTTGATCTTATGTTCTCTTCTTACCCCTTTGCATGTATTGGATCATTGGAAAAATCATATTTTTTCTATGCAAAAATACATCATACTTTCCCCATTGACCCAATAGATTTCTTTTATTTTTCAAAACATTGATCTAAACTGAGAAAATACCTTTATCTTATAGATAAATTATAAGGAAAAGGAATACAGACAAATATGGAGACTGAAGGCACAAAGAAAATTCAAGGTAAGGAATTCATGGGTTGTGTATCTAGAATTAGTTTTATGATATATTTGTGGGATATACTACAGATTGTCTGATAGGGTCCAGGGAATGAAAGAGTCGTTAAGCAGTTTATATAAATACTGAGCACCAACTCTGGGCTGTCACAAAATTTCTAGCTTCAGGAAACTGATGTTCTGATGGGAAAAGACATGGTGATAATTAGAAAACTATAATAGTTAATTTAATTATGGTATAAACAAAAGTAGGAACCTGAGAGGACCAATTCAAAGTATGCCTGGAGATATGATTTCAGAATTGTCCCTGGAAAGATGGAAATTGAATCCATGGCATGGAGGAGGCTAATCAGAAAGGAAAAAAAGGATGGAGAATAGTGTTCATTCTCTCTCTCTTAATTTTGCCACAGGGCACATGTACTCACTGGTGAGAGACAGAGAAGGTGAGAAACTACTCCTACAGGAAATGGTCACACAGCAATCCCTTCTACTCCATTTGGAGATTTTGGGTATGCACGCATGTGCGTGCACACACACACACACACACACACACACACAGAGTTGTTTGGTTATTTTAGATCTTTTGTATCACCATGTGAGTTTGGGGGTCAGCTTGTCAAGTTTTACCCAAAAAAACCCAAAAAAGCTATTGAGATTGTATTGAATTTATAGATCAGTTGGAGGAGAATTAGCATTTTAACAATATTTAGCCTTCTGACCATGAACAAGATATATCATACTACCTATTTCAGTCTTTAATTTCTTTCAGCAGCATTTCTTAGTATTCAATGTATATTTTCTTTACATCTCTTGTCCGATTTATCCCTATTCCATGCTTTTAATACTATTGTAAATGACATTTTTACAATTTTTATTGTTATTATTTTTTTAATTGCTATAGGGCCCATGGGGGATGGGACATGGTGCAGTTTCTTCTCCTTCATTCTCGTCTTGAGATTTTAGGTGTGTATGTGTTTGCACACACACACATACACACAGCTGTTTTTCAAGCTGCCAGGTCCAGGACTTGAACCATTCCATTGGCCATGTTGGATCCAGTTGCCTTAACTACCACACCACTGGCTGGCCTGGCATTTTGTTTTTTCTATTTCAATTTCTATTTGTTGCTGGTATATAGAAATATAATCGATTTTTCTTTTAAAGGATATCCTGGAAGGGCAGCAGGTGATATTGTGGTTAAGGTGCTGGACTCCCACATGGCTGACAGTGGTTTAAGTCCTGGACCTGGTGGCTTACTTTCTAATTTTTCCTTTCTCTTTCTCTCTCTTTCTTTGTGTGTGTGTCTCTCTCTTGAGTGCCCATGCCCTGTGGCAAATTAAATAATGATGATGATGATAAATAAAATGAAATAATTTATTTTTTAAAAAGGATATCCTAAAAATTTACTATCTCACTTGCCAGTTCTAGTAACTTTTTTGTAGATTCCATTATATTATCTACATAGAAAATTATGTAGTGTCTGAATTCATATAATTTTACTGCCTCCTTTACTCTCTCTACCACTAGGCTACAGGGCTGGTCTGACTTATTTTTTCTTCGTTAGTTTGGCTAGATGTTTATTACATTACTGGTCTTCTCAAAGAACTTGCTCTATTATTTTTCTGTTTTCCTAATTTCAGCTTTGATCTTTCAGTGTTCATTCTTTTATTTACTTTGGGTTTATTTGCTCTTTTTCTAATTTCTTTTTTTTTTTTTTTTTATTTTATTATCATCATAATCTTCTATCTACTCTATTTTTTTTAAAAAGAATTATCTATTTATTTTGCTTATTATTATTATTCAATTTGAGCAGAGAGACAGAGAGAGGGAGAATGAGAAAGCAAGCGACCAGGTCCAGGACTCGAACCACAATGAGGCATGTGGGAGTCCAGTACCTTAACCACCACACAACCTGCTGGCTCCAGATTTGATTATTTTCTAATGCAGGCATTTAATGTTGTAAATTTTCTCCTGAATTCTGCATTAGCAGTATTCTATGAATTCTAATATGTTGTATTTTAAATTCATTCAGTTAATTGCTAATGACAGATTTTTAAGCCAGTGTAGCTTTATTTGAGTTTTTTTTTTTTTTTTTAAGATTTATTTATTTATTTAAATTTTACCAGAAAAGGTAGCAGGGAGAAAGACAGAGAGAGAGAGAGAGAGAGAGAGAAAGTGAAAAAGTAAGCTGCCAGGTCCAGAACTTAAACTGCAGTTGACCATGTGGGAGGGAGTCCAGTACTGGCCCCTATTTGAGTTTTTTACTCCTATGTTTTATGCAAGGAAAAACCCCACGAACTGTAAGAAGTTCACTTTAAGTTCTTTTTTTTGAGAGATATTTGTTATAGGGTGCATGCACTCTCCAGAGAGACAGACAGAAAGTGAGAAATCCCCCCTCTCCTGGCGGGGGGAGGCGGAGATGACCACACCACAATCCCTTCTCCTCCATTCTCCTCTTGGGATTTTGGACATGCATACACATGCGCCTGGTGCAAGTTTACATAGATCTGGGACTCGAACCACGGTCAACAAAATGGGAGTCCATTGACGTAATCATTACGTCGTCTGCTGGTCCCTTAAGTTCTTTAATTTAAAGAACATCTTTTCTTTTACACTTCTCCATTGTTTGTTAGATTATAAAAGTAATACATGCTTATTATTTAAAAAGTCAAGCATTCCAAAGATGCATAATTAGAATATGAATGGTTTTGAAAGAAAACTTTCAGTTGGGGACCAGCAGTTAGTGTAATGGCTGTGTCGCTGGACTCCCATGTAGTCAACCGCGGTTCGAGTCCCGGACCTGGCGGCTAAACTCACGCTGGGCACTTGTGCGTGTGTGCCCAAGATCCCAAGAGGAGAATGGAGGAGAAGGGATTGTGGCATGGCCATCCCCCCTAGGGGGTGATTTCTCGCTTTCTATTTCTCTGTCTTTCTGGCGTGCACACGCACCCTATAGCAAAAACCTCTTAAAAACAAAAACAAAAACAAAAACAAAAAAACCGAAAACGTTCAGTTTAAAATAATGAATTTTTGTTTTTTAGAAATGAAGACTGACCTGAACTTATTATTGGAGTGTTTAAAGTATCAAATGGACAACCCTTTTTCACAAAAGGAAGCTTTGGTCACCATTCACTCAATTTGTCAACAAAATAGTAAGACATTATAGTAAATTTTTATCTGTGATTGTAGTTCTTTAGTACTGTGATATATCAAATAAGTATAAGTCTTTCTTATTCGCTTGGTTATTCTATATGTTATGTTACTTCATGTGATTTTTTTTCTTGTCCTTAGAAGAATAATAAAAATAAACATATTTTCTGTTTTGTCTGCACACCCTGCAGGTAATGCATGTGTTTATTTTCGGGAAACTGGTGGTTTGATGTTTGTAAAAAATCTTGCAAAGTCAAGTGGACATAGTGTGGTAAAAGAAGCAGCATTATATACATTAGGAGCCCTTGCAGAAAAAAATGGTAAAATTTTAGAATTTATTTTATTTTAAACATTGTGTTACTTTTCACACTCTACTCAAAATAATTTTAGAATTAAATTCCTTTTTTACATATTGAATAGTTTTATCTTTTAGATAAAAGAAAAAATAGTGTACAATCACCTTTTATGTAGGCAAGTCTGCTTATATGCTTCAGATATAGATTCATGTTGACAAGAAAATTTTTCTGCAGTATATCTAAAATGAGGTTGACTCTAAACTATCAACTTCTCATGACCAACTTTATATTCTTATATTTTTATTCATTAAATATTTATTCATCATCTATTATGAACCAAACTCTGCTAGGCATTGAGGATACAGAAATTTGTAAATAAGATATGTACTTCTTGCCTTTGAGATAGAGTCTAATGGCCAGTTCTGGGCACTGAATAAAATGTTGATTATGTCATAGCATTCAAATGATCTTTGTAAAATTCTGCTTTTCCCATGATTATTGGGGAAAAAAAAGAAAGAAACAAACAAAGCACTGTCAGGTAGGAGCTGGCAGGTGGCATGGTGGTTAAAGGCGCTGGATTCCCACGTGGATGACTGTGGTTCGAGTCCCAGACTTGGTGGCTTGCTCTCTCACTTTCCCTTTCTCTCTCTCTGTCTCTGTCTGGTCAAATTAAAAAATAATAATGATAGGGACCAGCAGGTGGCATAACGGCTAAATGCACTGGACTCCCACATGGCTGACCACGGTTCAAATCCTGGACCTGGTAGCTTGCTTTCTCACTTTTTTTTTCTCTCTCTCAGTCTTACTCTGGTCAAATTAAAAAATAATGATAAATAAAATAAAGGAAATAATTCTTAAAAAAAAATAATGATAGGACCAGCAGGTAGTGTGGTGGTTAAGGTGCTGGACACTCCCACATTGCTGACCATAGTTCAAGTCCCGGACCTGGTGGCTTGCTTTCTCACTTTCCTTCTCTCTCTGTGTGTCTCTCTGGTCAAATAAAAAAATAAGTGAGTAAATAAATAAAAATAAATAATTATTAAAATAATGACAATAACAAATGGAATTAAATAAATAAACAACAAAAAATCCACTGTCATGTAGATTTTATTTTTTATTATTTTTCAATTAGCAATAATCGAGCCTCGGATAAACCTCATTGGCTACGATACTGCCACTGCGCAAAGCTATTTTTTATTATTTTTAAAAGAATTATTTACAGGGACCAGCAGATGGCATGGTGTTTAGGGCTCTAGACACTCCTACAGGCTGACCACAGTTCGAGTCCTGTACTTGGTGGCTTGCTTTCTCACTTTCTCTCTCTGCCTCTTTGTATCTCTTTCTGGTCAAATTAAAATAAATAAATGAATAGATTAAATGAAATATTTTTTAAAAATAATTATTTACTTAGTTTTATTAATTATTATTTTTTTTTTAACTTGACCAGAGAGAGACATCAAGAGAAAGGGAAAGTGAGAAAGCAAACCTCCAGGTCTGGGACTCAACCCATGGCTGGCCAGGGCCTCAACCAGCATGTCACCTGCTGGTCCCACTTTTTATTTTTGAAAATTTTTTTTTTATTTCTAGAAGAATCTCAAAAAATATCACAGACATTAAAAATTTTTTTTAAAAAGAACTATCCATCAAATTTTATTTATTATTATTATTATTTAATATGACCAGTGAGAGACAGAAAGAGGGAAAGTGAGAAAGTAAGCCATCAGGTCTGGGACTCGAACAGTAGTCAGTTGTATGGGAGTCCAGTGCCTCAACCACCACGCCACCTGCCAGACCTAGCACAAATATTTTTTGTCACTATTTTGTAAGGTTGGTTCCTATATTTTCTTTTTCTTTTTTCTTTTCAGTTTTGTTACAGGACATGTGTGCCCACTGAAGAGAGAGAGAAATACCGCCCCCCCCCCAGTGGGGATGACCTTAGGATTCTGGGTACACACACACACACACACACACACACACGTGTGCCAATGTGTTTCCCAATCCACTGGGTCCAGGACTTGAACTGTGCAGTCAGTCATGTGAGATCCATCCATCTCAATCTCCTTGCCATCTACTGGCCCTGAATTTTCTTAAATTACTTTTCTTGCTAGGTTTTGTTACTCATCCTCTTAAATTTTCTTTTTTTTTTTTCTTTTTCTTTTATTTTGATCAGGCTTCATTTAATTTTAAATTTTGCTAGGTTTTTATAAGACATTCTAGAGGATTTCAATAAGTGTTTTAGAGAAAATATTTTTGGTTAAAATACTACTTATTTGTGGAACAAGCAGATGGTGTAACAGTTACGTTGCTGGACTCCCATGTAGAAGGCTATGGTTTGAGTCCTGGACCTGGCTTAAAACTCACGCTGGGCGCATGTGCGTGTGTGCCCAAAATCCCAAGAGAAGAATAAAGGAGAAGGGAGTGCAGCATGGCCATCTCCCTGGGGGGGTGGTTTCTCGCTTTCTCCCTTACTGTCTCTCTCTGGTGAGCACACAAGTTCTATGGCCAAAACCTTTAAAAAAGAAAGAGACGCTAACTACTTCTTTCATCTGCTAATTGAGTAAGCACATATCAATTTGTCTGGAATTTTGCTATATGGTTAATGTCAATTAAATGAGATCTGTTTGGCACAACTCTAGTTTGGCAACTTTTTTTTTTTTAAAGAATTATTTTATTTTAACTTTATTTATTATTATTATCATTATTATTTTCCAGTTTGATCAGAGAGAGACAGAGACAGAGAGGAAGTGAGAAAGCAAGCCACCAGGTCCAAGACTTGAACTGTGGTCGGCTCTGTGGGAGTCCAGCACCCTTAACCACCATGCCACTTGCTGGCCCCACAACTTTGTATTTTATTTAGCATATTTTACAGCTTGTTTTTGCTTATACACTGAAATTAAAATTCTGTTTTATATTTCAGTTTACTGTCAACAGACTTTGTGCACTTCAGAGTTGTTTGAAGACTTAATTTGGTTCTTATCTAATGAGGATTCAAATACAAATTTGAAAAGAATGTCCGTCTATGTTATTTTGGTTCTAGTGTCCAATAATAGTAAGTATATTCTTTGTGAGTGTTTAAAAATTTTTTGAATAATAAATTGGAACAGTCATTATTAATCATTCTAGTCCTTATATTAGTGGGGTTTTTTCCTCCTTATTTTCTTTTTTAAAAAAATTGCCAATAGGGTGTGTACACTTACCAGGGAGAGAAGAAAGAAAGAGAAAGGGATAGCCAGACCACAATTCCTTTCCCTTCATTTTCCTCTTGGGATTTGGGGCATGCACACACACATGCCCAGCATATTTTCCAAGCCACCAGATTTGAGGCTTGAACTGCACTGTCAGCCATGTGGGATCCAGCTGCCTCAACCACCATGCCACCATCTGGCCCTTGTTTGTTTAAATCTCACTAACTTCTGAGAAATACTAGCTTTAAAGAAAAGGGAATTAATAGCATGCATTTAAACATTCAATGTTTTTTGGGACCAGCAGTTAGCATAATGGCTATGTCGCTGGACTCCCACGTAGTTGACTGCTGTTCGAGTCCTGGACCTGGTGGCTTAAACTCACACTGGGCGCGTGTGCATGTGTGGCAGAGAGCCAGAGAGGAGAATGAAGAAGGGATTGTGGTGTGGTCATCCTCCCTGGGGGGTGATTTCTCGCTTTCTGTCTCTCTGTCTCTCTCTTTCTGGCGAGCGCACGCGCCCTATAGCAAAAACCTCTCAAAAAAAAAAAAACATTCAATGTTTGTTAATTTTAAGAAACAGTAAAATGATTTGTATTATTTAAACATTGAGAAGTAACAACTTCAAAATGAAAAAAAGGAGATATTTAATGAATAACTTTGGTTGATTTTTTTCCACTAAATTGACCATTTAGTCAATACTACTACAGTGTTTACTCTATCAGCCAGTAATGTTTTTTATGTTGAAATAGTTTTAGATTTATAACAAAGTCACAGATAGTATAAAGTATTTCTGAATACCTACTACTTAGGCTAAGGTTATTTTTTTTTTAACATTGCTTTATTTAATTCTTCAAATTGTTAGAAATTTTATGGCATTTAAAATGTTTCTAGACTTGGGACCAGCAGTTGGCGTAATGGCTATTTCGCTGGACTCCCATGTAGTTGACCATGGTTCGAGTCCCAGACTCAGTGGCTTAAACTCATGCCAGGCACATGTGTGGGCATGTCCAAGATCCTGAGAGGAGAATGGAGGAGAAAGGATTGTGGCGTGGCCATCTCCTCTGGGCCATCCCCTATGTCTCTCTGTCTCTCTCTTTCTGGTGAGCATATGCACCCTATAGCAAAAACCTCTAAAAAAAAATGCTTCTAGACTTTGGGACTGGTAGGTGACATGGTGGTTAAGACACTCCTACATGGCTGACCATGGTTCGAGTCCTGGACCTGTGGCTTACTTTCTCACTTGTCTTTTCTCTATCTCTCTCTGGTCAAATTAAAAAAAAAAAAAGATGATGAATAGAATTAAATAATTCTTTTAAAAAATGCTTCTAGACTTTATTTTTCTGTCTTAAAAATACTAGAAAAGATTGAAGCTATTTTTTTCTACTTTGGAACATATTTCACTATTTTAACAGAATCATGATGCAAAATAATTTTTTTGTAATTTTTGAAGGAAACTTGAATGCTATTAGTCTCTGAGAATAAATAATATATTTTTTACAATAACCTTGATTTTACCTTTTTTCAACTATAATTCTGTTTAATACTTTGCAGCACTTTAAAGTGGCTTAAAAGCTATTACAATACTACTTAGAGCTGGCCAGTGACCTGGTGGTTAAGGCTGTATACTACATTAGGTCTATGACAGTTTGAGTCCTAGACTTAGGAAACATGTCAGACATGTGTGCATACATGCCTAAAATCCCAACAGGATGGAGAAATGGAGGAGAGGGATTGCAGTGTGACCATTTCCCTCGGCAGTTGCTTTCTCCCTTTCTCTCTTTTCTCTGGTGAGAACATGCACCCTCTGGGGGGAAAAAGGATACTATTTAAGTCTTGTTTTTCATTTTTGCAAAATTATTTCTAAATAAAAGTTATATTTGTATAATATGTGACTTTTTTAAAGGGACTGGACAAAAACTTGTGAGAGAAACAGGTTGTATTACAGTTCTTTCGGAATTGTTCAGGTAAGCAAATATCAATTTCTTGTTAATTATTCATTAGTTAAGTTCTTCACACATTTGTAATAATTTGCCATCTTACCTTTTTACCCCAACAGGACAGTTCTTTCAAAACATGAGTTGGATTTGTCACATGAAAATGTTTTCCAGACTTATCAGCTGTGGTCTTCAGTGTGTAGTACTCTGTGTGTCTGTGTCAACAATCCTCAAAATGGTAATTATCTTAAATATTTAAATATAAAAATAAAAACAGAAATGAAAACTGATATATTTTTTTTCTTTTTTGGAGAGTTTTTTTTTTTTTTTTTCACTATAGGGCGCGTGCGTTCGCCAGACAGACAGAGAGAGACATAGAGACAGAAAGCGAGAAATCACCCCCCAGGGGGGATGGTCACGCCACAATCCCTTCTCCTCCATTCTCCTCTCGGGATCTTGGGCACGCACGCACACGCGCCTGGCGTGAGTTTTAAGTCACTGGGTCTGGGACACAAACCTCGGTCGACTACGTGGGAATCCAGCGACATAGCCATTATGCTAACTGCTGGTTCCCGAAAACTGATATTTTCTAAATGTGATATTAAAACATTGTCAACTTTGTCTCTTTTAGATGATAATCAAATGTTTTGCTGTTCACTTTTTCCACATGCTAATGAGTGTCTAATGAGTTGTATGAAACCTGAAATAATTCGCCCTATTTGCTCATTTATTGGACTCACTCTTGCAAATAACAGTAAGTATTGGTTATTCTCTAGGTTGTACTTGAAGAAGCATATTTAAAAGCATATAAAAAGCTAAATTCATTTTTAATTAATTGGATTAGTGAATTAATTCTTATCTAGTAAATGGGGTCATTTTGATGCACTTTTAGAACCTTGAAGGTAAGGAAATCTTGGGACCAGCAGATGGTGTGATGGTTACGTTGCTGGAGTCCCATATAGTTGACTATGGTTTCAGTCCTGGACCTGGTATCTTAAAACTCAAGCCAGGCATGTGTGCGGGCCTGCCCAAGATCCAAGAGGAGACTGGAGGAGAAGGGATTGCAGCATGGCCATCTCCCCCAGTGGGTGATTTCTCATTCTCTGTCTCTCTCTGTCTCTCGGGTGAGTGCACGTGCCCTGTAGCAAAAATCTCTTCAAAAAAGACAAAATCTTAAAAGTAGATATTGTTAGGAGGACGTTGGGAAGATGGTAGGGAAGCATAATTTTTAAGTCTCTCTAGATACTTTCATGAAACAAAGCAACTAGACAGCAAAACTAAAAACTCTTGAGTGTGTTCTCTGACAACAGTGGAATCAAATTAGAAATAAATAAAAATAAAACCCCCAGAAAAACCCCCAATATATGGTAATTAAGCAGCTTAGTACTAAAAGATCAAAACAAGGAGCCAGTAGGTAGTGTAGTGGTTAAGGTGCTGGATTCCCACATGGCCAACCACAGTTTGAGTCCCAAACTCTGCAACTTGAAAATCACACTGGGCGTGTGTGCATGTGTGCCCCAAATCCTGAGAGAATGGAGGAGATGGGATTGTGGGCATCCCTCCAATACAGTGCCTTTTTACTTTCCCTTTCTCTTTCTCTGTCGCTCTCTCCTGCAAGTGTATGTACATTATGGCAAAAACCTAAACAGAGTAGGTATATCAAAATAAGATGTGGGGTTCAAGACTCAAACCTTTGAATTGGCCATCTAGGATCTAGCTTCATTAACCACCATGCCATCAGCTGGCTCCAAATTTCTTTTTTTTTTTTTTAATCACCAGTGGGCACATGCATTTACCAGGGAGAGGGAGAGAAAGAACACCATGACTGGGCATGGTCCTGCTGCAGTCCCTCTTTTTCCATTTCTACATCCCATCAGGACCCTGGGCACACAGTACACATGTACCTGGTGTGATCCTCAAGCTACAGAGGCTAGGATCCAAACCATAGTTGGTCATGAGGAAATGGCTCCCTATGTGCTATGCCTAACCACTGTGCTATGTATTTAGGCCAGCCATAAATAAATATAGTTTAAAAAATAATCATTACAAGGGATTGGGCAGGCCAGGTGGTATGGTGGTTAAGGTAACTGGATCCCTCATGACCATGGAGGAATGCTTTTTTTCTCCTTTTCTCTATCTCTTTCTGGTAACACATACACCTTCTGAGATACTAAAAAAAAAAAAAAAAAAAAAACAACACAAAAAGACTGACTAAATTAATTATGGCATATCTGTAATATTGAATATTGCTTATTTAAAGAGTAAGATTACTATAGTATGCTAACTTGAATGCTATATTTTTATTATATGCACAGGGGCCAGCAGGTGGTGTGGTGGTTTTGATGCTGGATTTGCACACGGCCAACCACAGTTTGAGTCCTGGACCTAGCGGCCTTAAAATCATACCAGACACATGTCTGTGAGTGCCTAAATCTTTTTTTTTTTTTGAGAGGTTTTTGCTATAGGGCGCGTGCATTCGCCAGAAAGACAGAGAGAGACAGGGAGACAGAAAGTGAGAAATCATCCCCCAGGGGGGGATGGCCATGCCACAATCCCTTCTCTTCCATTCTCCTCTCAGAATCTTGGGCATGCACGCACACGTGCCTAGCATGAGTTTTAAGCCACCAGGTCCGGGACGTGAACCGCGGTCGATTACGTGGGAGTCCAGCGACATAGCTATTATGCTAACTGCTGCTCCCACAAGCTAGTTTTTTGAAAGATCAGTAAAATTGATCATTTAACTAAACTGATTACAAAATAATGAGAGACAGCCTAAATTATCAATATCAAGAATGAGAGATGAGGGACCAGCAGATGGCATAATGGTTATGTTGCTGGACTCCTATATGGCCAACCATGATTCACGGTTCAAGTCCTGGACCCAGCAGCTTCAAACGTGTGTGTGTGTGTGTGTGTGTGTGTGTGTGTGTGTGTGATCCCCCTGGGAGGTGATTTCTTGCTTTCCCTTTCTCTGTCTCTCTTTGTCTTTCCAGTAAGCACACATACCCTATAGCAAAAATTTCTCTTGAAAAAATTATGTATACACATATATACATATATGTGTGTGTGTATATATATATATATAATTTTGTATATTTTTTTTTTTTTGGAGAGGTTTTATGCTATAGGGTGCATGCGCTCACCAGACAGACAGAGATAGAGAGACAGAAAGCGAGAAATCACCTCACAGCAGGGATGGCCATGCTGTAATCCCTTCTCCTCCGTTCTCCTCTTGGGATCTTGGGCACGCAAGCACATGCGCCCGGCGTGAGTTTTAAGCCACCGGGTCCAGGACGCTAACCGCGGTCAACTATGTGGGAGTCCAGCGACATAGCCATTATGCTAACTGCTGGTTCCCAATAGATCTATTCTTTATAGCTCTGTTGAAGGTCTTGTTAAATAAAATTGAAGGGCAGTTCAGTAATATCATTCTTACAAGACACACCAGCTTTCACTAAATGAAACAAAAAATATTTCTAACACATAAAAAAGAAATACTGTACTATACATGTAGTTATATTATATCAAATTAGTTGTTTACATAAATAAGTAATCTATTTTATGATTACATATATGCACATATAAATATTGGATTTTTAATTCTTTAATTTTGGGATTTTTAATAAGTATTTTAAAAAGTCAACTAAATTATTCAGTGTAAATTAATTGAATGAAATCATATACCTGCCTTGTTTGAGATATTAATAATTCTGCTACTTTACTTCTTAAGCATATGTTCAGAAATACTTTGTGTCTGTGGGCGGACTGGATGTATTATCTCAAGTTCTTGTGCAACTGGAATCTGATTCCCATAAGACTCTTTCCAGTGCTAAGCTTGCGGTGGTGGTGACAAAGACAGTGGATGCGTGTATTGCTGATAATCGTAAGTGAAAATGCTTAGTAATCTTTCTACAATTGAATTTTGTTTGACTTCAACATGGTGAGTATTGAAATGGTAGATTGAACACTAACCTAGCTCAGACTTGCAGTTTCTCAGAAATGGAAGAAAATCTTAGAGATGATCTAATCAGTTCTTTATTTTCCCACAAAGGTTATGACTTCCTTAAGGATTCAAATTTAAGTCTTCTGACTTTAGTTCTAATGATAGAATTAAAATAAGAGTCTTTCATTCCCAAATCTTTACTTTATATAAAAATCAGTATTGATGTTAGATGAAAGATCAAGGGGTATTTTTGAGACTTGGGAATGGAAAACCCAATTTATAAATTAAGAATTGTATAAAGAATTATAGTCATGGGACCAACAGTTGGCATAATGACTATATGGCTGGACTCCCATGTAGTCGACCGTGGTTCAAGTCCCAGACCCAGTGGCTTAAACTCATGCCGGGCACATGTGCGCGTATGCCCAAGATCCCAAGAGGAGAATGGAAGAGAAGGGATCGCGGCATGACCATCCCCCCGGGGGGCGATTTCTTGCTTTCTGTCTCTCTTTTTCTCTCTGTCTTTTTGGTGAGTGCATGCGCCCTGTAGCAAAAACCTCTCAATTAAAGATAAAAAGAATTATGGTCTGCCTCTAAGTATGAGGTCTGACTTATCTGATAAACACTAGCTAGTGAGTGGCAGAATCAGACTTAACTCATGGCTGCCAGTTATAAGAGACTCTATTGGCATTCACAAATAACTTGGGGGGAAAACTAGATGATTTTTGAAAAAAGCAGTTATTGAGTATCTGCCATGACTAAGCTCTAGACACATAAAAATGGTTACAATATAGTCCCTTAAGGAATTTACAATCTTATGGTCAATAACAGTATTGCTAGCTTCCAAGCAAACCCTGTTAAAAGCCTCAGGAGGAGAGGTATAGGTTAAGATGATGGACTTCTTGAATTTTGTCACATCTCAGTGTAGTTTCAGATATGTTTCATTTATTCTTTTTTTTTTTTTAAGATATTTTAGCTATAGGGCATGTGCGCTCGCCAGACAGAGACAGAGAGACAGCGAGAAATCACCCCCCAGGGGGAATGGCCACACCACAATCCCTTCTCCTCCGTTCTCCTCTTGGGATCTTGGGCATGCACGCACATGTGCCCGGGGTGAGTTTTAAGCCATCAGTCCGGGACGCAAACCGCAAACTGCGGTCGTGGGAGTCCAGCGACATAGCCATTACCCTAACTGCTGGTCCCTTTCATTTATTCTTTAATGTCAGAAGGATCATGATCAGTTAATAGTATATCTCAATGTTAGGCAGGCATTGGTTTCATATAAAGGTCTTTACTGTTCAATCTAGATAAAAGGAGAGATATAAAGTAAGAGTAAACATATTTAGCTTTCAGGAAGATATTATTACTTTATTATATTTACTTTATTAACATTATACAGAACAATTAAGAAACTATTCAAAACATTTGCTTTAGTAATATGTATTTAGTATGGGAAGAGGAATTAATAAGGGATATTGTAGTAAGCCTCCATCTTATTACAAAGAGTTTTTAAATATTCACATATGTAGACATGTGTGACACGGTATATGAGGTGTGTGTGTATATATTGTTTATCTGAGAATGTTCTTGTCTTTTCTTCCCATATGAAGGATAATGTGATTATTTATAGATATATGATACTGTTTATATGATACTGGATAAACTCTGAAAACATATATAGTATATGTATAGTTTTAAGTTTGTATTTTACTTTTTTTTTTATACTAATAGCTACTTTTGGGGTAGTACTATCCAAGTACCACATTGTTTCAAAACTTCTGGCATTACTGACTCATGAAAGTCTGGATTCAGGAGAAAAATTTAGCATCATACTTACTCTTGGTCATTGCACAGAGGATTGTGGTAAGTATTGAATTTATTTAGTGTGCTTATTAAAACAGTGCAGTGAAAATATGTTCCCCTCCCTACCTCAACGGTCATGTGAAAGTCTTTAAAGTATTGCCTTTTCCCCAACTATTCAGCATTCAGGTCCCAAACCTGTCATTTTAGCTTCTCATCCTTTTTCATATATTGTATTGAGTTAGTCACTAAGACCTGTAGTTCTACATTTTTTTTGGCACCTTTTTATCCCTTTCTGTCCAATTCTAGTGCTGCTCTCTCAATTTAGGCCCTCAGTCCCTTAATATCTTTCACCAGTATTGCAATACATGGACCCATAGACAACTCAAGAGAAGACAAAGATCCTTAATTCTGGGAAACAAAGCACAGAAGATCAATGTTTTAGTAAAAAAAAAAAAAAAGTCATAAAATTCTATTTCATCAGTTCAGACTCATGTACTTAATCTATCTTCTGTTGTGTCCGATCTTTCCATTTAAATTCTGGAAGATAATGTTCAACTCTGGACTTGTCCTTACCATTAAGTTGACCATTTTCTTAGTTGGTTTGAATTCTTATTTCTGTGTGTCTGACTTTAGTTTTCCCGATATAGCACTCTTTTCGGAACTTCTTGGAGAACTGGTCTGGTGTTGGGAAATTCTTTCAGGTTTTGTTTATCTGAGAATGTTCTTGTCTTTTCTTCCCATATGAAGGATAATCTTGCTGGATATAGTATTTTTGGCTGAAATTGTTTTTCACTCAATATGTTGAGTATATTTTCCCATTCATTCCTTACTTGCATTGTTTCTGATGAGAGGTCCACTGTCCTGATGGGATATCCTGTGTAGGTAACTTGACTTTTCTCTCTTGCCAATCTTAGTATCCTGTCTTTGTCTGTGGTTTTGGTCAATCTGGCTATAATATGTCTTGGAGAAGATCTTCTTGGGTTGATCCTATTTGGGATCCTTTGTATTTCTTGAATCTGGATCTTTTAATGCCTCTCTGTTTTTGGAAAGTCTATTCCAGGATTTCATGGAATAGATTATCAATGCCCTTGTTAGTCTCTTCACCTTCTGGGATACCAATTATCTGGATGTTTGGACATTTAATGGTATCTAGTATTTCTCATATATTATTCTAATTTGGGGGCTGTTTTCTCAGTCTTCATTGTGGAATTTACTTGTCCAGTGATTCTGTTTTCTACATCTGAGATTTGATTTTTTGTATGATCTAGTCTTCTTTTAATACTTTCAAAGGAGGTTTTGACTTCCTGTATTATAGCCTTCATCTCTAAGAGTGTCATTTGATTCTTTTTTATGGTGTGTATTTCTTCTTTCAGATTGTACAAGAACCTCCTCATCTCCTGGAACTTGTCAGCTCTTTTCTCCTACCTCTTCTGGAGTTCATTGTCTATATTCTCTTCCATCTCTGTTAGCTTTGTCACTATAAATGTTATAAATTCTTTATCAGACATTTCCATGAGTTCCATTGTACTGTCTATAGATGAAGAGGAGTTATTCTTTTCCCTTGGGGGAGAGGTATTTTCTTGGTTTCTCATATTTCTTGTGCCTCTGTGGTGATTTTTAGTCATCTGATGGGTTATTCATTTCTTCCTAATTTCTAGAAGTTCAATCTGAGAGATTGGAGGTGGGCAGAGGAGGAGGTGATCTGAAAACTCTCTGTCATTCCGTTTTTCTCCAGGGGGCTCTACCAGGCTGAATTCTCAGCAGAAAATTTTTATTTCTCTTATTCCCTGAAAGCACTATTTCTGAGCTGGCATGGGGGACTCCCTCCCTCCCTTTTCTAGTCCTCTCTTCACAGTGCTGCACAGATCTGATCCTGTTATCTCTTGCTGAAAATCTTTAAAGGGTTTTTCTTTCCCTGCTTATTATCTTTCTTCTCTCTCTTCTTTCTCCTTCCCCTTCCATTTTTTTCCTTCTCTCCACATTCTTCCCACTCTTTCTCTCTTGTCCAACCTACTGCTACTTTCCAACCTTCTTTACTTTCTTCTCTCCTCTCTTTTTCCAGTGTCCTTCCTTCTCTCTTCCCCCTCCCACTTTTCCATTCTCCTCTTTCTTCTTTCCCTTACCTACTCCCTCCATCAGTTTATTTCTCCATTCTTTCTCTTAACATCTAAATTAGTAATTTAGATTCTTAATTTCTGTTTTGAACCAAGTAAGGACAGTTTGTTGATTCTTTTTTTTTTTTAGAGGCTTTTGCTATAGGGCGTGTGCACTTACCAGAAAGACAGAGAGACAGAGAGACAGAAAGCAAGTAATTATCCCCTGAGGAATGGCCAAGCTGCAATCTCTTCTCCTCCATTTTCCTCTTGGGATCTTGGACATGTATGCACATATGCCCTGAGTGAGTTTAAGCCGCTGGGTCTAGGATTTGAACCGCGGTCGACTACATGGGAGTCCAGCGACATAGCCATTATGCCAACTGCTGATCCCAGTTTGTTTATTCTTATGAGATATGATGGTATTCTGTGACTGAATTTTAGAGGTGATCACTTAAGAGATTTAGGTATTTTGTATAAGTGGGTTATTTCCTAAACTGAAAATACTTTTAAAATTATTTATATTTTAAAAAATTTGAACTACGTTTAAATATTATATTACTTCCTTATGTTATCATTAGGAAGTCTTGTGATTGTTTCATGCAGGTAGTTTATGATAGTCTTATACAGATAGTTTATGATAAAGTAATTCTCTTCTAATTCAAATTTTATATGCTTTCCTAGAGGAGAATCAATATGACCTTTTTAAAAACAATGGGCTTCCACTCATGATACAAGCCTTAACTGAATCTCAGAATGAGGATCTAAACAAAGCTGCCACTTTTGTACTTCATAACTGCAAAAAAATTAGTAAGTTTACTGTTGATATTAATATTCACTTACTTAAAATATTTCTTATTTTCAGAAAAGACCAACCAAGACTGGTAAGTGGGGTGGTGGTTGAGAGCACTGGTTCCCACATGACCAACCATGGTTTGAGTCTGAGACATGGCGACTTCCATTCTCACCTTCACTCTTTCTCTCTCCCTCTCTCATTCTGTCTGTTTCTGGTCAAATAAATACATAAATAAGGTTAAGTAACATAATTCCAACAACAACAAAAAAAGAAAATACGAGCCAAAGTTTATGAAGGCAAATTTGTAATTGCCTTAATGAGTCAGACCCTTTAGCTCCCAGGTTCTTCTTAGATTTGAAAAGCAGAGTATATCATTTGTACATGATGACTTTGGTATTTTCAGCATATATAAATTTACATGGAAGAGACAGCAGTATTTTTAGTTAACTTATTATTATTATTGTTTAGAGAGATTTTTGATATAGGGTACACTCATCGGAGAGACAGAAAGTGAGAAATCATCCCCATGGGGGACTGCCATGCCACAATCCCTTCTCCTCCATTCTCCTCTCAGGATTTTGGGCATGTTCTCACACATGTCCAGTGTGAGTTTTAAGCCACCAGGTATAGGACTCAAACCATGGCTCGCCTGTGGGAGTCCAGCCATATAACCATTATGCCGTCTGCTGGTTCCAATAGAGCTTATTTTAGCTAGAAAAATAGACAGTAATAGAATAATCTCAAAAATGAGATTATGTATTACAAATTGACATAAGGGTTATGAAGAGATAGACCACAGATCTTTGAGATCTTTTAATAAACGAACCTGACCTAGACTTGATGAGAAAAAGTCTTGTGAGGAAGTCACTCTTGAGCTGAGATCTGAATGTCTAGAGTTAATTAGGTGAATTGAGGGGAAATTGTTATGGGTCAGGGTCTCAGGCATAAGCAATAGTAAGGCACGAAGGCTCTGTGGGAGGAGGGAGCCTGGCGCATTCAAGGAATTAATGGCCATTGTGATTGGAGCACAGAGAGCAGTGGTCATGATAAGAATTTTGATCTTTGAATCATAGATACAAGGACCAGCAGGTAGCATGGTGGTTAAGGTGATAGACTTTCACATGACTGATCTCAGTTCAAGTCACAGACCTGGTGGCTTGCTTTCTTGTTTTCTTTCTCTCTCTCTTACTGGTAAATGCCTGTATAAAACTTAAAAATAATAATAATGATAAATTTTTTAAAATAATAATTCTTGGGACCAGCAATGGGCATAATGGCTATATCGCTGGACTCCCACGTGGTCGACTATGGTTCGAGTCCCGAATCCAGTGGCTTAAACTCATGCCAGGCACGTGTGCATGTGTGCCCAAGATCCCAAGAGGAGAATGGAGGAGAAGGGACTGTGGCATGGCCATCCTCCCCTGAGGGGGGTGACTTCTCGCTTTCTGTCTCTCTGTCTCTCTCTGTCTTTCTGGTGAGCGCATATGCCCTATAGCAAAAATCTCTCAAAAAAAAAAAAAAACTCAAAATAATTTTTTTAGAAAGACATTTTTACTATAGGGTGCATGTGCTCACTGGAGAGACAGAGTCAGAGAGATAGAAAGTGAGAAATCACCCCCATGGTAGATAGCCGTACCATAATCCTTCTCCTCCATTCTTCTCTCAGGATTTTGGGTATGCATGCACACTTACCTGGCTGAGTTTTAAGCCCTCAGGTCTGGGACTCAAACCATGTTCGACTTCATGGGAGTCCAGCAATGTAATCATTATGCCATCTGCTGGTCCCTTAAAAATGTTTTTGAAAAAGATTTTTAATTATGGACATATGTAAAAAAATATTTAAAAAATTATATGAAGGAACTGGTTTATGAATGCTGCTTTTAAAAATAACTAATTTAAAGACCAGTATCCTTATACTTGAGGGTGTTTATGTGCCTGGCATAACATATAATCATGTTATTTTTTTCCCATGTAACTCTGAAAAGTCTAGTCTAATTTTTACTGTTGGGTCCTGGGCCTCGGCCAAGCATTTTTCCCACTGATTTTCAGTACCAGTTAAGCAGTTAAGATGGTATTTAGATGGACAAAATTTAGAGAAGGGTTGGTGGGATATGAGGTTGTCTTTATTTAAAGTGTTAAAATAATATTTGTAGTAATAGATAAACTCATTATTTTTTCCATATCACAAAGCCGAGAAATTATCTCTAAGTTTAGGAGAATATTCTTTTGATGATGATGGAGCTGAACACTTAAAAGTAATAAAAGTGAAAGAGAAGAATCTTGAAGAATACTGGAAGAAAGCAAAGGAAATTCTACAGAGAATAGAACAGCTTGAAAGAGAAGGAAATGAGGTTAGCTTCTTTGTTTCAAAGATTATAGAACTTTTTAAAAATATTGTTTAACAGTAGAGGTTGGAGGGCAAAATTTTTTTCTTTTCAAGTAATTTTTTAAGTTATTTAATTTTTAGTCATGATTTTTAAAAAATTTGCTATGGGGTATGTGCACTCACGAGAGAGAGTGAGAAGGAGAGAAAGTGAGAAAGCAAGCTTCCGGGTCTAGGACTTGAACCATGAGCAGCCATGTGAGAATCCAGGACCTTACCCACCACGTCACTTGCTAGCCCTTTCTTTCTAAGTAATTAAAAAAAGAAATTTTATTGGTTTTAAATGTAAAATTCTTTAATAATACTTGAGGAGCCACCCTTGGACATTGAACAAAAAAATTTTTAAAAATAGAAATGATGATTGTAAAGGTAAGAGATGCGAAAGATATAGCTAAGAGATCTAACATCTGAATAGTAGATGTCAGAAAGAGGGTCCAACAAGTGGTATAGTGGTTAAGGTGCTGGACTTCCACGTGGCCAACCACAGTTTGAGTCCCGGATCTGGTGGCTTGAAACTCATGCCAGCTGTATGTGAGTGTATGCCTAAAATCCCAAAAGGAAAATGGAGGAACTCCCGGGGAGGGAGTGAGTTCTCATTTTCTGTCTGTCTATCTTTTTGTCTCTCTGGAGAGTGCATACGTCCTATAGCAAAAATCTCTCGCCAAAAAAAAAAAAAAAAAAAAAAAAAAAAAGGGACTGTGGTGATTTTTAGTCATCTGATGGGGTATTCATTTCTTCCTAATTTCTAGAAGTTCAATCTGAGAGATTGGAGGTGGGCAGAGGAGGAGGTGATCTGAAAACTCTCTGTCATTCCGTTTTTCTCCAGGGGGCTCTACCAGGCTGAATTCTCAGCAGAAAATTTTTATTTCTCTTATTCCCTGAAAGCACTATTTCTGAGCTGGCATGGGGGACTCCCTCCCTCCCTTTTCTAGTCCTCTCTTCACAGTGCTGCACAGATCTGATCCTGTTATCTCTTGCTGAAAATCTTTAAAGGGTTTTTCTTTCCCTGCTTATTATCTTTCTTCTCTCTCTTCTTTCTCCTTCCCCTTCCATTTTTTTCCTTCTCTCCACATTCTTCCCACTCTTTCTCTCTTGTCCAACCTACTGCTACTTTCCAACCTTCTTTACTTTCTTCTCTCCTCTCTTTTTCCAGTGTCCTTCCTTCTCTCTTCCCCCTCCCACTTTTCCATTCTCCTCTTTCTTCTTTCCCTTACCTACTCCCTCCATCAGTTTATTTCTCCATTCTTTCTCTTAACATCTAAATTAGTAATTTAGATTCTTAATTTCTGTTTTGAACCAAGTAAGGACAGTTTGTTGATTCTTTTTTTTTTTTAGAGGCTTTTGCTATAGGGCGTGTGCACTTACCAGAAAGACAGAGAGACAGAGAGACAGAAAGCAAGTAATTATCCCCTGAGGAATGGCCAAGCTGCAATCTCTTCTCCTCCATTTTCCTCTTGGGATCTTGGACATGTATGCACATATGCCCTGAGTGAGTTTAAGCCGCTGGGTCTAGGATTTGAACCGCGGTCGACTACATGGGAGTCCAGCGACATAGCCATTATGCCAACTGCTGATCCCAGTTTGTTTATTCTTATGAGATATGATGGTATTCTGTGACTGAATTTTAGAGGTGATCACTTAAGAGATTTAGGTATTTTGTATAAGTGGGTTATTTCCTAAACTGAAAATACTTTTAAAATTATTTATATTTTAAAAAATTTGAACTACGTTTAAATATTATATTACTTCCTTATGTTATCATTAGGAAGTCTTGTGATTGTTTCATGCAGGTAGTTTATGATAGTCTTATACAGATAGTTTATGATAAAGTAATTCTCTTCTAATTCAAATTTTATATGCTTTCCTAGAGGAGAATCAATATGACCTTTTTAAAAACAATGGGCTTCCACTCATGATACAAGCCTTAACTGAATCTCAGAATGAGGATCTAAACAAAGCTGCCACTTTTGTACTTCATAACTGCAAAAAAATTAGTAAGTTTACTGTTGATATTAATATTCACTTACTTAAAATATTTCTTATTTTCAGAAAAGACCAACCAAGACTGGTAAGTGGGGTGGTGGTTGAGAGCACTGGTTCCCACATGACCAACCATGGTTTGAGTCTGAGACATGGCGACTTCCATTCTCACCTTCACTCTTTCTCTCTCCCTCTCTCATTCTGTCTGTTTCTGGTCAAATAAATACATAAATAAGGTTAAGTAACATAATTCCAACAACAACAAAAAAAGAAAATACGAGCCAAAGTTTATGAAGGCAAATTTGTAATTGCCTTAATGAGTCAGACCCTTTAGCTCCCAGGTTCTTCTTAGATTTGAAAAGCAGAGTATATCATTTGTACATGATGACTTTGGTATTTTCAGCATATATAAATTTACATGGAAGAGACAGCAGTATTTTTAGTTAACTTATTATTATTATTGTTTAGAGAGATTTTTGATATAGGGTACACTCATCGGAGAGACAGAAAGTGAGAAATCATCCCCATGGGGGACTGCCATGCCACAATCCCTTCTCCTCCATTCTCCTCTCAGGATTTTGGGCATGTTCTCACACATGTCCAGTGTGAGTTTTAAGCCACCAGGTATAGGACTCAAACCATGGCTCGCCTGTGGGAGTCCAGCCATATAACCATTATGCCGTCTGCTGGTTCCAATAGAGCTTATTTTAGCTAGAAAAATAGACAGTAATAGAATAATCTCAAAAATGAGATTATGTATTACAAATTGACATAAGGGTTATGAAGAGATAGACCACAGATCTTTGAGATCTTTTAATAAACGAACCTGACCTAGACTTGATGAGAAAAAGTCTTGTGAGGAAGTCACTCTTGAGCTGAGATCTGAATGTCTAGAGTTAATTAGGTGAATTGAGGGGAAATTGTTATGGGTCAGGGTCTCAGGCATAAGCAATAGTAAGGCACGAAGGCTCTGTGGGAGGAGGGAGCCTGGCGCATTCAAGGAATTAATGGCCATTGTGATTGGAGCACAGAGAGCAGTGGTCATGATAAGAATTTTGATCTTTGAATCATAGATACAAGGACCAGCAGGTAGCATGGTGGTTAAGGTGATAGACTTTCACATGACTGATCTCAGTTCAAGTCACAGACCTGGTGGCTTGCTTTCTTGTTTTCTTTCTCTCTCTCTTACTGGTAAATGCCTGTATAAAACTTAAAAATAATAATAATGATAAATTTTTTAAAATAATAATTCTTGAAAAAGATTTTTAATTATGGACATATGTAAAAAAAATATTTAAAAAATTATATGAAGGAACTGGTTTATGAATGCTGCTTTTAAAAATAACTAATTTAAAGACCAGTATCCTTATACTTGAGGGTGTTTATGTGCCTGGCATAACATATAATCATGTTATTTTTTTCCCATGTAACTCTGAAAAGTCTAGTCTAATTTTTACTGTTGGGTCCTGGGCCTCGGCCAAGCATTTTTCCCACTGATTTTCAGTACCAGTTAAGCAGTTAAGATGATATTTAGATGGACAAAATTTAGAGAAGGATTGGTGGGATATGAGGTTGTCTTTATTTAAAGTGTTAAAATAATATTTGTAGTAATAGATAAACTCATTATTTTTTCCATATCACAAAGCCGAGAAATTATCTCTAAGTTTAGGAGAATATTCTTTTGATGATGATGGAGCTGAACACTTAAAAGTAATAAAAGTGAAAGAGAAGAATCTTGAAGAATACTGGAAGAAAGCAAAGGAAATTCTACAGAGAATAGAACAGCTTGAAAGAGAAGGAAATGAGGTTAGCTTCTTTGTTTCAAAGATTATAGAACTTTTTAAAAATATTGTTTAACAGTAGAGGTTGGAGGGCAAAATTTTTTTCTTTTCAAGTAATTTTTTAAGTTATTTAATTTTTAGTCATGATTTTTAAAAAATTTGCTATGGGGTATGTGCACTCACGAGAGAGAGTGAGAAGGAGAGAAAGTGAGAAAGCAAGCTTCCGGGTCTAGGACTTGAACCATGAGCAGCCATGTGAGAATCCAGGACCTTACCCACCACGTCACTTGCTAGCCCTTTCTTTCTAAGTAATTAAAAAAAGAAATTTTATTGGTTTTAAATGTAAAATTCTTTAATAATACTTGAGGAGCCACCCTTGGACATTGAACAAAAAAATTTTTAAAAATAGAAATGATGATTGTAAAGGTAAGAGATGCGAAAGATATAGCTAAGAGATCTAACATCTGAATAGTAGATGTCAGAAAGAGGGTCCAACAAGTGGTATAGTGGTTAAGGTGCTGGACTTCCACGTGGCCAACCACAGTTTGAGTCCCGGATCTGGTGGCTTGAAACTCATGCCAGCTGTATGTGAGTGTATGCCTAAAATCCCAAAAGGAAAATGGAGGAACTCCCGGGGAGGGAGTGAGTTCTCATTTTCTGTCTGTCTATCTTTTTGTCTCTCTGGAGAGTGCATACGTCCTATAGCAAAAATCTCTCGCCAAAAAAAAAAAAAAAAAAAAATAAGAAGAAGGGTAAAAGGTGGAGAAGTAATAGTCTAAGAATCTTTCTTTCTTGGGACCAGAAGATGGCATAATGGCTATGTCGCTGGACTCCCATGTAGTCGACCATGATTAGAGTCCTGGACCCAGTGGTTTAAACTCACGCCAACTCAAGCCGGGCACAAGGGATTACAGCATGTTCATCCCCTCTGGGGGGTGATTTCTTGCTTTCTGTCTCTCTCTGTCTTTATGGCTACCAAAAACCTCTCAAAAAAAAAAATTGCTTGCTCTTTTTCTCTCTCTATCTCAAGGGGTTTTCAAAAAAGTTCATGGAAAATACATATTACAAAATAACCTATGAGGCCAGCCCCATAGCCTAATAGTTATGAAGCTGGATTCCACATGGCTGACTGTGATTCAAATCCTGATCCCAGTAGCTTGAAAAATGCTGAATATGTGTGCATTCATGCCCCAGATCCTGACAGGATGGAGAAATGGAGTGGAATTGTGATGTGACTATGATCCATTGGGGTTGTACCTTATTCCTCTTTGTCTCTTTCTGGTAAGTGCACATGGCCTCTGGCAATGAGAAAACTATGTCAGGGGCCAGTAGGTGGCATGTTGTTTGAGGCTCTGGCCTCCCACATGGCCTACCACTGTTGAGTCCCAGGCTTGGCAGCTTGCTTTCTCATTTCCTCTCTCTCTCTCTTTCTCTCTCTCTCTGCCTCTCTCTGGTGAGTGCACATGCCCTATAGCAATAAAATAATAATAATGATAAGTAAGCTTAAATAATTCTTATAGACAGAAACTATGTCTGGATTTCAAAAATTTTTTGTACCAAAATGAATTCATACTTTAGTTTTTGCTATAGGGCATGTGCACTCACTAGAGAGACAGAGACAGAGATGGAGAGAGAGAAAGTGAGAAATCACCCTCCAGGGGAGATGGCCACACTATAATCACTTCTCCTCCAGTCTCCTCTCAGGATTTTGGGCACTTATGCACACTTTCCTGACATGATTTTTAAGCTGCCAGATCTGGGACTTGAACCACACAATTGGCCATATAGAACCCAGTGCTTTAACCTCCAAGAAAGAGAGGGAAAGTGAGAATGCACCACCACCATGGGGGTGATCACACCACAGTCCCCTTTCCTGCTGCTCCTAAACTCGTACTTTAATATCATTTTCTAGGAACTTTTTGAAGCCCCCTCAGTATATACATTCATATTTTTTCTTTGTATTCATGTTTTGTGTCTTTGTACACACACACACACACACACACACACACACACACATTTTTAGATTTTTGCCATAAAATGTATACATGCTGGAGAGAGACTAAGAAGGAAAGTGAGAAATATGCCCCCGGGTAGATGGCCACATCACAATCCCCTCTCCTCCATCTTCTTTTGGGGTTTGGGCACTTAAGCACATGTGCCTGGTATGATTTTGAAGCCACTGGGTCTGGGACTCAAACTTTGGTTGATCATGTGAAAACCCAGCAGCATAACCATTATACCATCTGCTGTACCCTGTGCATATATTTTTTAAAATAAAAACATTACATTCAAGTTAGCATAGTATAATGATCTTGCTCTTTTAAATATCTGAGTACTACCCAGAACTGTAGATATGTCATAATTAATTTAGCCCGTTTTCATTTGTTTGTTTGTTTTTTAGTATGTCAGAAGATGTATGTATTTGCCAGAGAGAGAGAGAGAAAGGGAGAAGGAGAAAGCATCCCCCAATGGGACATGGTCATGCTATAGTCCTTCTCTTCCATTTCTCCATCCTGTCTGAATTTGGGGCATGCACTCACACATGCCCAGTGTTTTTTCAAGCTGCCAGGGTCAGGATTTGAACCACACCAGCTTGTTCCCTTAACCAATTAGCCATGTAGCTGGTCCTATAGTAACTTTGTTTAATGTTTATTATTTATTTCTTCCATCATACACACACATACACACACACACACACACACACATATGCACACAAAGAGATAAACAGACAGGGACTCTCAACAGGGTTTTGATACCATGATCCATCCCCAGTCTCAGCCTGTCTGGATCATAGTCACCTCTGCACTCAGTGTGCTCAAGGAGGTCCTAGGACATGAATCCAGGGCCTTTCCATGTATGTCTAGCTGCACTCCCGTTGCGCCATCATTTGGGCCTTGTAGTAACTTTTTATACTTTATAATTTATATCCTGAATCCTAAGATAAGATTTACATGTACTATTTTTAAAAATTATTTTGTCATTGTTATTATTATTGTTTTAATTTGACCAGAGTAAGAGAGAAAGTGAAAGTGAAAGTGAGAAAGCAAGCAGCCAGGTCTGAGACTTGAGCCATGGTTGGCCATGTGGGAGTCTAGTACCTCAATCACTGTGCCAGCAGTACTTATAAGTACTGTTTGTGAGTGTGTTGATTGCTATTTGGTTGTTTCTGACTTTTTCTTTTTTTTAAGCTTTACTCCCAAAATCCTCTTAGTCTTTAGTAGAACTTTTAGTTTTTGCTGTAGGGTGTGTCCACTCACTGGAAAGAGACAGAGAGAGAGGGAAAATGAGAAATTGTCCCCCAGGGAGGATGGCCATGCTTCAGTCTCTTCTCCATTTTCCTCTTGGGATTTTGGGCATGTATGTACATGTGCTTGGTGCGATTGTCAAGCCATCAGGTATGGGACTTGAGCCATAGAGTCAACTATGTGGGATCCAGCTGCCTTAACTTTCATGCCACCTGTTGTCCTCTTTAGCAGAACTCAAAAAAAGAATTTTGTGTTTCAGTATATTAGTTTACTTCTTTTATAATTTATTGATTTTTAAAGGAAATTTGCCAAAAGAAGTGTGTGCTTGCTGGAGAGAGACAAGAAAGAAAGGGAAAGTGAGAATGCACCACCACCATGGGGGTGATCACACCACAGTCCCCTTTCCTGCAGTCCTCCCTCCTTTCGGGAACACAAACATGCCTGGTGTGCTTTTCCTTTTTTTTTTTTTTTTTTTAAGAATTATTTATTTTATTTAATTTTTAAATTTTTGTAAGAGAGATTTTTACTATAGGGTACATGCACTCACTAGAGACACAGAAAGAGAGAAAGTGAGAAATCCACTCCCATTGGGGGGGATGGCCATGCCACCATCTTTTCTCCTCCATTCTCTTCTTGGGATTCTGGGCACACATGCACACATATCCAGCAAGAGTTTGAAGCTACTGGGCCCAGGATTTGAACTGCTGTCAGCCATGTGGGAGTCTAGTGCCTTAACCACTATGCCACCTGCTGGCCACCCATTGTGTTTTTCTAGTAACCATTTCTGGGATTTGAACCATGTAGTTGTACATGTGGGATCCAGTCTCCTTAACTACCATGCTACTGGCCGGTCTGATTTATTGATTTTATGTAATACTTAGAAAGGTCTTCTGCCTCAGGAGAATATTAAAATATCATAATTTCTCTTAGAACATACGTAATTTCACTTGTTTTAGAGAAAGAGAATTTTGCACTAGAGTGTGTGCATTCGCCAGAGAGACAAAGAGAGACAAAGAGACAGAAAGTGAGAAATCACCTTCCAGGGGTGATAGCTACACCGCAATCCCTTCTCTATTCCCCTCTGGGAATTATTTATTTATTTATTTATTTATTTATAGATTTTTATACAGTGCATGTGCTCACTGGAAAGACAGTGAGAGACATAAAGACAGAAAGCAAGAAATTAACTCCCATGGGGGATGGCTACACTGCAATCCCTTCTCTATTCTCCTCTCAGGTTTTTTTGGTGCACGCATGCACACACACACACACACACACACGCACATGCACGCACCTAGCCTGAGTTTTAAGCCTCTGAGTCTGGGACTTGAACTGTGGTCGGCAATGTGAGAGTACAGCAATGTAACCATTATGCCATCTGCTGGTCCCTATAATTTCACTCTTTATGTTTAAATATTTGGTTCATCTTGACTTTATCTTTGTGCAAACTCTGAGATAGCCAACTTATTTTTTCCCTCAAATAGCTACCTAATTGTCCTGACTTTTTTTTTTAATAAATTCTATTTCCTTCCTAATATGAACTGCCCTTTTGTCCTGTCATTATCAGCTACAGTCATAACCTTTTTTTTTATTATTTAAAGAAAACATATATTGGATCAATGGATTATTTTGAAATTATTTACTTGTCATTTTTACTTATAGGAAAAACTACAAAAGCAAATATGTAAGAATGATACTTCATCTGTGAAAATAAATACTCAGAATACGTTGAAACAGTTTCATACAGATAGTATTGGTGGAAGTACCCAAGCAGAAAGTAAAGATAAGAGCCAGTCTAGACAACTTCAGGGTTTTAAGCCCCATGAAGCCATGTCTAAAGCATGTGCCAGTGATGACCAAATGAAGACCCTTTTAAAGAGTGCAAACCCAGTCAATGCTTGTTTTCGGGAAAGAGGGCAAAATAAGACTTTATATAAAGGCAATTCAAGCTGCAATCAAAACTTCCATGAAAAAGCGCCTTTTGCAAAAAAGAATTTTGATTCTCAATCAAGGTACAGTTTAATAACTAGCTTTTATGTATTTATTCTGCAAGCATTTATTGTACACTATTATGTGCCATAGTTTTAAGCACCAGGGATATAGAGATGATAAAAGACGGTGTTAGAAGGAGCTAAAGGAGACACTGAGGAGGAATCTGAATGGGGAGACAAACCTGAACAGGTTTGTCTGTGCATGTCATACACAAGGGTTTTGGTTTTAACTTTCAGGGTATAGGGATCCATGAGGATTTTAAATTGAGTGACATAGTCAGATTTGAATTTTAGAAAGGATACTCAGAAAAGAAAACCTAAACTGAAACCCTCCACCTGAAGTAACAATGCATGCATTGGTAATCCACTGGCAAGTAGCAAAAAACAATTTAAGTTGGGTATGATAAAGGGAATCAGCTATGATAAGAATTTGGTTTAGGTTTGCTCTTTTGTTTGTTGCCAGTACTTCGTCCCCAGCCCATATCCTTTATCCATCACAGGCAGCCTATGGGGCTGCACCTGGCATTGTAAAATAGTTGTTTTTTTTTTTTTTTTTCCTTAAACCTTTTCTTATGTTGGGCTCCTCTGAGTGTTACTGGGCTCAGAAAAAAAAAAAAAAAATGAAGAGGATGCTACTGTGTTCTGTTTATGCTGCAGGGTAAACTAAGTATCAGGAAGACAGATTCCAACATCACCACCCTCTTTTGTTCTTTTCCAAAAGATGTTTTTGTTGATTTATTTATTTATTTATTTATTTATTTTTTGGAGAGATTTTCACTGTAGGGCACGTGCGCTCGCCAGACAGACAGAGAGAGACATAGAGACAGAAAGCGAGAAATCACCCCCCAGGGGGGATGGTCACGCTGCAATCCCTTCTCCTCCATTCTCCTCTCGGGATCTTGGGCACACACGCACACGCGCCCGGCGTGAGTTTTAAGCCACCGGGTCCAGGACACGAACCGCGGTCAACTACGTGGGAGTCCAGCGACATAGCCATTACGCTAACTGCTGGCTCCCTTCTTGATTTTTTTTTTTCATGAAATGACAGAGAGAGAGGGAGAGAAAAACAAGCATCTTCAACAGGGTTAAAAACTGCAGTCTCTCCCGCCTCCAGGATCATGGGTGTGCATGCCCAGTGTTTATAGATCGACCAAGGAATCAAATCTGAGATCTCCCACGTGGATTCAGCATCACTTGAGCATTATGTTAATGCTGTGCCACTAAGCTGACTCACGACTGTTTTTTGTTAGTTTTAACTTTATCTCTCAGAGATATGGGATTGGGAAGCAGCGAGATATGCTATTAGGTCAGTCCTCTTGCCCTCTGACATAAGCATTTCACCCATACCTTTTTTCCCTCTAACATTGTCATACTCTGTCTTCACTGAGTTATTCATTTAATATTAATATCAGCTGAATTTTTATTTACATTTCTTTTTTTTTTTTCCAGAGGGAGAGAGAGAACCCTTCCCTAGTGGGGTGTAGTTACACCACAATCCTTTTCCCTCTATTTGTCCATTGTATCAGGATTTAGGACATGCATGCACACACACTTAGTGTGTTTTTTTTTTACCCTGTAGGGGTAAGGATTTGATCTGGTTCCCAATGCACAGAGCAACCGCTGTGCTACAGAGCTAGCCCAGTATTTCCATTTCTTTTAAATTCTTTATTTCTCCTATGTAAGTACCTCCTACAAATATACATTCATGGACATATAGCTATAGCTATAGTCTACTGCCTTATCTATTTCTGGTCTACAGCTATTGCCTTTTCCTGTATTACCTGTTACCATTTTGACAGTATAGTCAAAACTTAACATTTATTCATCAAGGATTATAGGGTTCAAACACAAAACATTTGTTTTAGGGGTCAGGAAGGATTTTTTAAATGCAGTTTTTATATACATAATTACTAATATTTTGCCATCCTGTACCCATGTTCTCCCCCCAATTTTGTTCTCTCTATTTATTTATTTTGCTGCCATTCCTTCCTACTTTCATCTTTAAATCATCTTAATTTTCTTTTTTTTGAGACAGGATTGCACTATGTTGTCCAAACTGGCCTCAAACTCATGATCCTCCTGCCTCAGCCTCCTTAATAGCTGGGATTACAGGTGTACACTGTACTCAGCATTCGTTTTATAATCTCTTTCTTTCATATTCCTGCTGGCATAAAACTGCCATGCTCTGGAGTCTTATTTAACTGCAGTTGTAGAAACAAAGATGTAAATGTTGCTGCAGGCCCTATTTTGGTAGAATTTGGTAGATTTTGGTAGATCGTGACTCTAGCTCCTTCTGGTTGCTAAACACTTAGAATCATACCACTGCATACAGAAACATTTGTATGTTTCACAGCACACAGTATGTTTACTTTTGATACACTGTTGTCTATTTATTTATTTTTTAGTGACCATGATTTTAAACATCCAACTCACACTGTCAAAAATAGAAAGCAGCAGTTACCAGTAACAGGTATGATTTTAACATGTTTCTTCTTTGGGTTTTCAAGACCACAGATATTTAGGTGACTGATATAGTACAAATGTATATCTACTCTCAAGTATAAAGCTGTCCCTTTGGCGCTCTTCCTGGTAAGTGCCTGAGCACCTTTTATTGATATCTAGAATCTTCCTGTTTACCCAATACACCAGCTGTATGTGCAGTACTGAGCTAAAGCCTATGAAAATCTTAATAATTAATAAATCTTAATGTCAAGTGGTTTTTATTTATCAAAAAAAATCTTGGTATTTTGAAAATTTTTTTCCAGATCCATTTACATTATGTTCAGATATAATAAATAAAGAAGCCATCAGTTTTCTAGCAACTGACAACTGTTCCAAAATGAAGTATAGATGCTCAGGTAAAAATTTTAAATTGTAGTTGTTTCATAATTTAAGCTTTATTTGATACAGTTAGCTAGAATTTATAATAGTTCTACCTATGTGGTTTCCACTTCAGTCCCCTTAGAGAAATAACTATGGAGTGTCAAAGCATTCAGATTAATACCTTATATCTGCAGCAGCTGAGCTCCCAATATTTGTTTGTATGAATCAACGGAATTAATACCTTTTAAAATTACTTTATTCTTCTCTTTTCATTACAACACCATCTATAAGTTTAACTTTACCAAGTAAAATAACTTTTTTTATATTTTCAGAGTGCCAATAAATATTAGGTTGTCAGGAAAGTCATGACATTTTTAATTTTTTTAAAGAATTATTTATTTAATTTTATTTACTCATTCACTTATTTATTTTTTTTAATTTCACCAAAGAGAGAGAGAGAGAAAGAGAGAGAGGGAAAGTGAGAAAGCAAGCCATCAGGTCTGGGACTCAAACCATGGTTGGCCATGTGGGAGTACCAGCACCTTAACCACCATGCCACCTGCTGGTCCCAATGACATATTTTTATATGTGAAAATGTGTCATGACTTTCCTGACAACCTAATAGATATGCATTCTGGATTATGCTTTACATTTTATAGGTATTAAATGTAGAACAATACCTTTTTTAAAAAATTGTTTAATTTAATTAATTTATTTGTTTAAATTTGACCAGAGAGGGACAGAGTGAGAGGGAATAAAAGAGACGGAAAGTGAGAAATCAAGCCACCAGGTCCAGGACTCAAACCATGGTCGGCCATGTGGGAGTCCAGCACCCTTAACCACCTGAGGAATACCTTTTTATTATTATTTTTAAAAATTTTGCTATAGGTTACATGCACTTACCAGAGAGAGACAGAGGTGGGAGGTGGGGGTGGGGTGTCATCTCCCAAAGGGGATGACCATGTCTCAATCCCTTCACTAACTCTCCACTTGGAATTTTGGATACACATGCACATCCACATGGTGTGTTTTTCAAGCCTCCAGGTCAGAACTTAAACTGCACAATCAGACACGTGGGATCCAGCTGCCTTAACCACCATGCCACTAGCTACCCCCCAACTTCTCTTCTTAGTATGTGCTTCTTACCATGTCACCATGCTAAAAACCTTCAGTGCTTCTATGAAACCCCCTTAATGAGCCCCTCTGCCTGACTTTAAACAATTGTGTGGAATTTTGTCCTGCTCCCACTTGGTAGACTTTACCGCACATTTTGCTGTCTTTGTCAAAAATATGTTATACCCATTCCAAACTTTACTGTTCAATTAACTACCAAATTACTGGAGAATTATTTAAAACTTCTCCCTTACCCAATAGCTCATTGTTATTAAAATCCTGAAAATTATACTTCAGAAATCTCCCCATTCTTCCTGCAAATGCCTTATTTCAAAAGCCCGTAATTTATTTTCCAGACTATTGAAGTAATCTCTCAACTCATCCTCTTGCCTTCAGTTGACCTTTCCACAAGACAAATGAAATCAAATCATTTTCCCTCTTAATAATATATTTCAGTTCCTCCCCATTATCTTGAAGAGAGTTAAAATTTCTTAGCATGGCTTTCTAAACCGTTCTTGGTCTGGTTCTTTACAAGCCTCCCCACCTCAACTTTTCTCCCACACTTCTCTCTACCCTGTATTCTGGCCACACAAGAGTACCTGTGATTCTCTAAAAACACCATTCTTTTTCACATGTCTGTACATTTGTGTCTGTTTATTGTAACTGAAATGTCCTCACCCCAGCCATCTCTCTCCCTGGCTAATTTCTACTCCTTTATGAGAAGGTCACTAATACCATCAGGCTAATGGAAAACTTTGTAATGGATGGATGCAGTTGCCATTACCTGAACCTACTGATATATCTTAACATTAAAAAAAAATGTATATAAAGTCAGCAGGTGGCATGGTGGTTTAGGTGCTGGATCCCACATGGCTGACTGTATGGTTCGAGTCCCGGACATGGAGGCCTGAAAAACACTCTGGGTGCGTGTGTGTCTAAAATCCTGAGAAGAGAATGGAGGAGAAGGGATTGTAGCATTGTCATCACCCCTGAAAGGGTGATTTCTCAGTTTCTCTCTCTCTTTCTCTTTATCTCTCTGTCTTATCTCCCTCTCTTCAGTGAGCACAAGCACCCTATAGTAAAAAAAAAAAAAAATTAAAAAATAAAAAGATGTGTCTGTTAATAATATACAATAAACAGTACACAGTACTACCTGTAAGGAATTCTAGTAAAAGTACTTAAATCTGAATCTGATCTATCATCTAGATCAAATCACCAGTTTATGGGGCATACATCAACATTTTAAAGTAGGCAGCTAGGAGGACCAGCAAATGGTGTAGCAGTTATGTTGCTGGACTCCAACATGGCCAACTGTGGTTCAAATCCCAGTCCCAGTGGCGTGAAAATCACGCCGAGTGCATGTGCATGCATGCCCAAGATTCCGGGAGGAGAATGGAGAAGGGATCATGCCATGGCCATCCCCCCTGGGGGGTGATTTCTCACTTTCCCTCTTATTGTGTGTGTCTCTCTTGCTCTCTCACTCTCTGGCAAGCACATATGCCGTAAGACAAAAACCTCTTTAAAAAAGAGAGAGAGACAACTAAGATGCAATCAGCAAAAACCCAGCCTTTGAGAAACTAAAGTACAAATGAGCTATGCCTTCAACAAGTAAATGGCAAGGAATGAAGGGAGAAGTGATATATTAAAAGCAATTCAAGGGGCCAGCAGGTGGCTTGGTGGTTAAGGGTGCTGGACTCCCACATGGCCGACTGCGGTTCAAGTCCTGGACCTGGCAGCTTTCTCTCTCTCTCACTCTATTCCTCTCTGGTCAAATTGAAATAAATAAATGAATAAAAAAATAAAGTTAAATAAAATAATTTTTAAAAAAAGCAATTCATGACACATTACAAATATAATGGTGGGCCTGGTTTGGAGCATGATTCAAACCAACTACAAAAGAAATTTTTGAAATAATGGAGAAATTTTAATGCTGATTGGACATTAGATTGTATTTGGCATTATTTTCTCAGGTGTGATAAATAGTTTTATGGTGGTTTTTGTTTGTTTGTTTGCTTGTTTTTAAACAACATTTACCTATTTATTTGTTGTGATTTTTCAAGCAACTGGATCCAGGACTCGAAACATGGGATTCCGGCACCTTAACCACCACATCACCTGTTGGTCCAGTTTTGTGTTTTTAGGAAAAAGTGTTTATCTGCTAGGAATGTGTAAGTTATTTAGAGTTCAAATGATACTTTAATGTTCATTCCAGACTTCATAATCTAGTGTATGGAGACAAAGCAGAGTATGTGGATATATAAATAAAATATAATTAGCCATGAGTTAATAATTATTGGATCCAGTGACTTGCTTTCTCACTTTCCTTCTCTCTCTCCCTCTCTCTGGTAAGTACACGTGCCCTGTGACAAATTAAAAAAAACTTTTTAATAAAAACAATAAATTATTATCAACTTATTTATTTGACTGCGGTTCAAGTCCTGGACCTGGCAGCTTTCTCTCTCTCTCACTCTATTCCTCTCTGGTCAAATTGAAATAAATAAATGAATAAAAAAATAAAGTTAAATAAAATAATTTTTAAAAAAAGCAATTCATGACACATTACAAATATAATGGTGGGCCTGGTTTGGAGCATGATTCAAACCAACTACAAAAGAAATTTTTGAAATAATGGAGAAATTTTAATGCTGATTGGACATTAGATTGTATTTGGCATTATTTTCTCAGGTGTGATAAATAGTTTTATGGTGGTTTTTGTTTGTTTGTTTGCTTGTTTTTAAACAACATTTACCTATTTATTTGTTGTGATTTTTCAAGCAACTGGATCCAGGACTCGAAACATGGGATTCCGGCACCTTAACCACCACATCACCTGTTGGTCCAGTTCTGTGTTTTTAGGAAAAAGTGTTTATCTGCTAGGAATGTGTAAGTTATTTAGAGTTCAAATGATACTTTAATGTTCATTCCAGACTTCATAATCTAGTGTATGGAGACAAAGCAGAGTATGTGGATATATAAATAAAATATAATTAGCCATGAGTTAATAATTATTGGATCCAGTGACTTGCTTTCTCACTTTCCTTCTCTCTCTCCCTCTCTCTGGTAAGTACACGTGCCCTGTGACAAATTAAAAAAAACTTTTTAATAAAAACAATAAATTATTATCAACTTATTTATTTAAAGATAAATTTAAAAATTATTGAAGTTGGGGGCCAGCCATTGCAGGGTGGTTCAGGCAACTGTATTCCGTATGACAGTATGCAGCTCGGTGGCTTGAAAAACACTCTGGGCATGTGTACGTGCATGTCCAAAATCCTGAGGAGAATGGAGGAGACCAGAGCAATAAGTGGCACATCCATATTACCCAGGGGAAACTTTCTTACTCTCCCCTCCCTGGTCCCCGTCAGCCCCTCCTCGTCTCTCTCTTGGTGAGTGCACAAGCCCTCTGGCAAATTTCTTTTAAATGATTGAAATTAGGTGAGAGATATATGGGGTTGATTATACTCTGCTCTTGCTCTTATGTGTTTGAAATTTTCCATGATAAAAGTTAAAAATAAAATAAGACAACTGGGCTTAGGGGTGTCACTTCTTTTGGATGCCTTTCTTTAATCCTAGCTCCTGCTCAGAAATTGACCAAGCTAGATGCTCTTTTTCTTTTTTCTTTTTTTTTTATTTTTGGAGAGGTTTTTGCTACAGGGCGCATGCGCTCGCCAGACAGACAGAGAGAGACATAGAGACAGAAAGCGAGAAATCACCCCCCAGGGGGGATGGTCACGCCGCAATCCCTTCTCCTCCATTCTCCTCTCGGGATCTTGGGCACGCATGCACACGTGCCCGGCGTGAGTTTTAAGCCACCGGGTCCAGGACACGAACCACGGTCGACTACGTGGGAGTCCAGCGACATAGCCATTACGCTAACTGCTGGTTCCCAGATGCTCTTTTTCTACATAGCCATAATTCTCTGCTCAAACTTCTACTCCAACTCGTATTTCATTGCACTGAACTTGTCTCTATCACATGACTTTGAGCTTCTTAAGATATTTATTATTGAGTTCCTAATTTCAATTCTGTTATTATCATATAGGTGTTTGTTTTCACCATTATTAGATATTTTGTAACATCTATACATCACTTTGATTTGTTTTCTTTTAGGTTGCATAGCAGTAGGAAAATCCCTGAATAGCCGAAATTTTAGCAAGCTCTTGCACTCTTGCCCATATCAGTGTGATCGTCACAAAGTCATTGTGGAAGCTGAAGACAGATATAAAAATGAACTAAGGAAATCACTTATCTGTAACAAAAGTAATTAATTCAGTAGATTTAAAACTGTAATTATGACTCTACTTCTGAACTATCATCTAAAATATTCAGTATATTAAGAAATAGAGGGTAAAATAATCTTGAAAAGATAATCTGTCTCTAAGCAACCAGTAATTTAAGATGTACCCAGGGAATAGACTTGTTTCTGGTGGTTTAAATAGTCTTCCTAATCCACCTAAGGATTCCCACTAGAAGAGGGAAAATGGAAATATAATACTAATGAAACTGAGGTTTTATTACTTGGATTGATACTCTGTGTATGCCAAATGTTTCCATATTTTTCAGAGATTCTCCTGACCCCACGTAGAAGACAACAACTCAGTAAAGACTCTACAATCCCTGGAGGAATAAGTGAATATATTTAATTGTTAAATAAATTAAAATTTCATGTATTCCTGTGAAAGAGAACAGCTGAATGATTGTTCTCAGGCTAATTAATGGTTCTTAGATGATAAGCTTTGGCTCTGATGCAGGTCATACTGAAGTAAAGAGACTTCCCTCCTCTCTTTTATGTTTCTTGCTCACCCACAGCTAGCCAGCTAGGAAAGGAACAGTAGGAAACTGACATGTATTAAATGCCTGCTATGTCAGGTGTTTTGTAGATTTGTTTCCTTTAGTTCTTTTTTTTTTTGGAGCAGTTTTTGCTATCAGCTGCACACACTCGCCAGAAAGACAGAGAGAGACAGAGAGATAGAAAGTGAGAAATCACCCCCCACGGGGGATGACCACGCTGCAATCCCTTCTCCTCCATTCTCCTCTCGGGATCTTGGGCACGCATGCACATGTGCCCAGCATGAGTTTAAACCAGCGGGTCTGGGACTCCAACGGCGGTCGACTACATGGGAGTTCAGCGACATAGCCATTACGCTAACTGCTGGTCCCTCCTTTAGTTCTTATAATGGAGGACCAGCAGGTGGCATGGTGGTTAAGGCAGCTGGCTTCCATGTGACCAATGGCGTGGCTTGAGTCCTGGACCTGACAGTTTTAAAAACACCCACCAGGGGGACCAGCAGATAGCATAAGGGTTATGTCACTGGACTCCCACATAGTTGATCGGTTCAAGTCCTGGACGTGGTGGCTTAAAATTCATGCTGGGTTCATGTGTGTGCATGACCAAAATCCCACAACATTGCCATTCTCCCTGGTGTGTGATTTCTCACTTTTTGTTTTTCTGGTAAGCACATGTATCCTATAGTAAAAATCTCTTAAAAAAAAAAAATCAAAATGCTCTGGCCTAGCTGGTAGTATGGTGGTTGGGGTGGCTAGATGCCCCATAACTGACTGCATGGTTTCAACCCCAGATCTAATAGCTTGAAAAACACGCTAGGTGCGTGCGTGTGTGTCCAAAATCCCAAGAGAAGAATGGAGAAGGGACTGTAGTGTGGCCAGCCTCCTAGGGAGTTCTTCCCCTCCCCCCTTGCTCCAGTAAATACACGTGCCCTATAATAAAAAATTTTTAAATCAAAATGCTCTGGGACTAGCAGATGGCATAATGGTTATGTCACTGGACTCCCACATAATTGACTGTGGTTCAAGTCTTAGACCCAGTGGTTTAAAACTCATACAGGGCGTGTATGCATGCAAGGAAGAAGGGAGGAGAAGGGATTGAAGTGTGGCCATCTTCCCAGGGAGTGATTTCTTATTTTCTGTCTGTCTCTCTCTGTCTATCCATTGAGCATACGCACCTTATAGCAACAAAAACTTCTCTTTAAAAAAAATCAACATGCTTCTTTAACAATTAATTTGTGAGAATTTTAATTTTAATGTCACAGAGACTTAAAGAACATTATCAGTTTCTTCAGTTCATATGGAGTTAATACCTAAAGGGCGAAAATAAGCACTTGAGTACTGAGAACACCTCAAGAACCACTCTGTTACTTTTTACAGAGATATCTGGACTTGGTACATCCAAGATGTTTTTTGCCATGTATATTTATTTAGCTATTTTTACTTCCAAAAGCTTGAAAGAAATTTAAAGTTTACTTTTAATATTTGGGTTTTTTTGAAGGTTAAAAGTTTTATATGCAAAATAAGTATAATAGCACTATAGAGGAGCCTACTTTTTGAAGAAACTTAGAAACTGTCAGATAAATGACTTTTTTCCTCATAGAAACATGTTGTACTTGGAAATTTTGTTCTTGACAAGAAGTTAGCATCAAATTAATAATAGATTTTTTCAACAACTTATCTTAAAAGCAAATATGTGACAACTAAAAATATTCTATAATCCTATTTACATAATAAAATCATCTGCAAAGACTCATGAAATAGGCATAATTATGACTAGACATGATACAGAGAGGGATCCTAAATACTGCTAAGTGACGTAAATACCTTACCTCTTTTTTTATGTGTTAGACTTGCTTAGCTGAAAGTAACAGTTAATTATGAATGTGGTCTGGTTTTTGAGAATTTAGAAAGGCACCTTGAGAAAGTAGAGATTCATTTAGTCATATCTCTTTCACATGCAGGCCAGGAATATTTGGTATATTACCCTTTTTTCCCTCTTGATAAAATTCTGCTTTGGATTAGGACATTCACCACTACTTATTTATTTATACTTTATGCTTAAATTTGAGCTCATTCTCTTATTTTTAAGAGAGATTTTTATAGGGCATGTGTGTTCGCCAGAGAGACAGAGAGACACAGAAAGTGAGAAATCACCCTCCCGCCTCCAAGGGGGAATGGTCATGCTCTAATCCTTAATCCTCCATTCTCCTCTCAGGATTTTGGGCACGCACGTAAATGCACCTAGCATGAGGTTTAAACTGCCGGGTCTGGGACTAGAACCGCAGTCAACTATGTGGAAACCCAGCAATATAACCATTACACCATCTGCTGGTCTCAAATTTGAGCTCATTCTTTTGAAATGGGACCATTACACTACCTAAGCATTTAAAGATCTTCCCAAGGCTCTCTTTCAGGATGGCTTGATATCTTGAGAAGTTTTGAAAAATAGAGTCCCTAGAACTGAACCCTGTTGCTCATTTTCTCCTGCTCTTTCCTAATATCCAATCAATATTAACAGGAATTTTGAAGAAACCACAGAAGGAAGCCTTGTGGTATAGAGAGCTGCTTCCTATTTCCAGGCTTCTCTGTACTCTGCTGTAGGAACCATTGAGAATTTGGGCCTGGATGTTCAGTGTGGGAGTCAAGGAAATGACAGCCACAGTGAAAAAGTCTTTGTATGAGCAGCTCCAGGACTTCAATATCCTGAGAAAGATAATAACATGTCCAGTCTTTATTATAATGAGTTCAAATCATTTTGTAAGTGAAATTGAAACCTATTTCTTAGATAATCAGTTTTCTAGTAGACCCAAAAGGAAGGAATGACCTCATTAAGTTTTTTTTAAAGAATTATTTTATTTAACTAACTTTCTCTTTCTCTCTTCTCTTCTCTTCTCCTTTTCTTCTCTTCTCTTCTCTTCTCCTTTTCTTTTCCCTCTCCTCTCCTCTCCTCTCCTCTCCTCACCTCTTCTCTTCTCTTCTCTTTCTTTTCTTTTCTTTCTTTCAATTTGACCAGAGAGGGACAGAATGAGCAAGACAGAAAGAGAAAGTGAGAAAGCAAGCCATGGAGTCCAGAACCCTTAACCACCATGCCACCTGCTGACCCCTATTATAAAGTTTTGAGACAAATTTTGCTAACTTTTTATCTCAACAAATACTTGTCAATCACCTTGTATGTATCAGACACTATGCTAGCCACTGTGGATATAGCAATGAACACAAGAGACAAAAATAACTGCCCTCATGGAGTTTACATTCTAAATAATACTGTTAAGTAATAATCAGGCATTATTTATATCAATTCCTCAGCCCTCTGCTGGTAAGATTTTCTCTTTTATTTATTCTTTCCTTTATTCACCATAGAGCATGTAAAAGTGAAGGAGAAAGGGAGAGATGAGCATTCTCTACAGTGTCTGGTCACTCAGCAATCCCTTCCTATAGTCCTTCAGCCCACTGGATCTTGAAGATTTGCACATGTGTCTCGCATGTTTTAGGAGGACCTGGCTGGGGATTCAAACTGTGGTTTCTGTGTGGGATCTGGCTTCTCTTGAGTAGTACATTACTACTGTGCTACAGAACCAGCCTTTCTCTCCTATTTTAAAAGGTCTAAACTGTGGCTCTTATTTTAGGAAAGGTGGACAAATGATTAACAATCTTGGCCTATAAGAGGGTGATCCAGCATAAACATACCTGGTCCTACCAAAGTAAATAGCAGCCTCAAGTGAAAAATACAAAAACTCCTCCTCACTGTTGTCTACCTACAGTGATGACCTGAGCAACAATGGATGAAAAAGCTTTTAAAATAATACTTATCACCAGAAAATATTTGTTTAGGGCTAGCTGTTAGCATGGTGGTTAAAGTGGGTGGAATCTCAGGACCAGCAGTTAGCATAATGGATATGTCACTGGACTCCCATGTAATTGACCGCGGTTCAAGTCCTGGACCCGGTGGCTTAAAACTCATGCTGGGTGCATGTGTGTGCGTGCCCAAGATCCCGAGAGGAGAATGGAGAAGGGACTGCAGCGTGGCCATCCCCCTGGGGGGTGATTTCTTGCTTTCTATCTCTCTGTCTCTCTGTCTTTCTGGCGAGCGCATGCGCCCTATAGCAAAAACCTCTCAAAAAAAAAAAAAAAAAGTGGTTTGAGTCTCATATGGTGGTTCAAGTCCTGGACCCAGTAGCTTGAAAAAGAAGCTGAGTAGGAGTCGGCAGGTGGTGTGGTGGATAAGGGCACTGGATTCCCCCATGGCCGACCATGGTTCAAGACTGGACCTGGTGGCTTCCTTTCTCACTTTCTCTTTCTCTCTCTGGTCAAGTTAAAAAAATAACAATAATAAATGGAATTAAATTAAAAAAAGAAAAAGTAAAAGAAAAAGAAGCTGAGTACAGGTGCACATGTGCATACTCAAAATCCTGAGAGGAGACTGGAGAAGAGATTGTGGTATGGCCATTAAAGCAGGAGATGGGGAGGGAGAGGGTGTGGAGTGTGAGGTATGATTTCTTACTTTATCTTTCTCTCTCTTCAGCGAGCATACATGCCCTAAAGCAACACTTTAAAAAGGGGGTGATTTCTCACTTGCCCTTTCCTTTCACTGTCTCCCCAGTAAGTGCATGCACTCTATGGCAAAATAAAACAAAACAAAAAAGACTCTAAAAAATTTGTTTACATATACTGTATATTCCTTCTATTATGAAAGTATTCTGGGGCCAGCAGATGGCTTGGTGAAGGCTCCACTCCTACATGGCCAACTGTGGCTTGTTTTTTCACTTTCTCTTTCTCTTTCTCTCTGGTGAGCATACATACCCTATAGCAAAAGTTTAAAAATAATAATAATAAATAAATATATATTTTTAAAAAATATCCCTGGGGTCAGCCAGCAGGTGGCATGGTGGTTGAGATGCTAGACTCCCACATGGCCAACCACAGTTCAAGTCCCAGACCTGGTGACTTGAATATCATGCCAAACACACGTGTGTGTGTGTGTGTGTGTGTGTGTGTGTGTATGCACCCAGAGTCCTGGAAGGAGAAAGGAGAAGGGATTGTAGCATGGCCATCCCCCAGGGTGGGTGACTTTTCACTTTCCTTCTTACTGTCTGTCTCCTCTCCAGCAAGTGCACATGCTCATGGCAAAAACCTTAAAAAAAAAAAAGTAAAAACTTTCTTCTCTGTTGTATAGTTTTTTTAATAACAATTTTTAAAAGAATTATTTATTTTATTTATTCATTTAATTTTATGAGAGAAAGAGAGAGAGACAAAGTAAGAAAGCAAGCCACCAGGTCCAGGACTCAAACCGTGGTCAGCCATGTAGCCATGCCCAGTTCCTTAACCACCATGCCTCCTGCTGGGCCCTCCCTATTGTACAATTTTTTAAAACCTTTAATTTTTATGAAACTTGAGTACCCTTATAGGTAGTGAACATGTTTTCTTTTTCTTTATTCATAATAGAGTGTGTGTGCATGTATGAGAGACAGAGAAGGAGATGAGCACCCTCCACAAGATCTGGTCATATTACAATTCCGTTCCTCCAGCCCATCAGATCTTGGGCACTTGTATGCAGGCCTGACATGTTTCAGGCTGACCAGGCTGGGGATTTGAACTATGAGCACCAAATGGGATCTGGCTTCTCCTGAGCACCATTCACAGAGCTGGCCTGTGAATATTTCTAAAGTGAATTTCAAAAGATCTCTATTCAAAGATTATTAATCAAACCTGATATTTAAAATAACAAGTATTGATACTCTTTTCTATTCTATGAAGTTATGGAGTCCTTTGGGAAGACTGTATCTGTAAGATAGGTAAGCTGTTTGTTAACCATCTTCATAGGGATGTTGAATTAATAACAAATGTTCATAAACTTTTGTCTCTTAAAAGATGTTGTATATAACAGAATATGTTACAATTATTGAAGAACTCAGTCTTAGCACCTAACTTAATACTAGACACTTAAGTTTTTAAAGTTGAAGTGGCTTTCCATATGATGAGTAGCCCAGGCAAGAAGTTTTCTCATTTCATAGTGCATATCCTTTGAATAAGTTAAGCACTTATTTGAGTGTCAAGAAGATCCTTCTCTTCAGTAAGTACTAATATATTCTACAATTTTTCATTAATTACAGAGAAAAGAAGAATTCGTAAAAACTTTACAGAAGAAGAAATAAATTATCTTTTCAGTGGAGTTAAGAAAATGGGGAATCACTGGAATTCAATTTTGTGGTCTTTCCCCTTTCAGCAAGGACGGATGGCTGTGGACCTTGCTCACAAATATCACAAGATGACCAAATGCCTCAAGTGTGTGCCCCCTTGATTGGAAGAAGAGTATTAGTTTTTAGTTTGGACTCTTAAAATACTCTTGAAGATACAAAATTTAAATATTATTCTAAATTCTTATGAAATGGAGAATGTGGAAATGGGGCTACCGTTGTAATTAAATACCTTTTTTGGTTCTGGAACTCATCCAATTATTACAATAACTTATAAAGAAATACATTTTGGGGGCCAGCAGGTGGCGTGGTGGTTGAGGGCGCTGGACTCTCACATGGCTGACCATGGTTCAGGTCCTGAACCTGGCAGCTTGCTTTTTCACTTTCTCTCTCTTTCACTGTCCTTCTCTGGCCAAATTAAATAAATAAATAAAGTTAAATTTAAAAAAATACATTTTCAATGTGCAGATTAGCAAGATAAAATTCTTTTATAGGATCAAACATTTGTTTAGGAATATACCTTTATCTTTCCTTAAGCCCAAAGAACATATCTTGGAGAAAAAAATTTATTAGCCTTTAAGCATTATTTGACATTATATTGCAGTGAATACTATATGAGATGTTTGGATTTTAGGGCTTTTGTTTGTTCGTTTGTTTGTTTTTAGATTTTTGTCATAGGGTGCATATGCTCACCAGAGAGCAACAGAGACAGAGGACAGTGAGAAATCACCCTGCAGTGGGGATGGCCACACCACAGTTCCTTTTCTTCTTCTCCTCCCGAGATTTTGAGCACGTACACACATGCACCCATTGTTTTTCAAGCTGCTGGGTCTGGACCTCAAACCATAGAATGAGCCATGTGGGATCCAGTGCCTTAACCATCATGCCACCAGCTGGCCCCAGATTTTAGTATTTTTACTGTGTCCCAAAAAGTACCAAAGTACCTTCCCAGAACTCAGAAAGATACAAGTTTCCTAAGCTGGTTAATTGAGGCTCCCACACACTAAATCATTGACATTTTATTAAGATGTTTCCTCTTTAAAGGCTAATTGTGCACTTGCTTTGAATACTCCTATATTCTATGGTTAAGTTCATATCTTTTTGGTGTATGTTTAGTTAACTTTTTAAAAGTGTCAGTCACTTTCTCCTCCCTCTCCCTCTTTTATTCTTCATGTGAGGGGCCCCCAGCTACTTCATGCTGTAGGAGAGTGAGTTTATGAGCTTTGTCACTGACCTCTGGACAGTAAATGTAAAATGTGTCCAATGAGAACTGTGACCATGAAAAGATGGCCCAACTGACAAAGGCAGAGCAGGGAATCAGTTGCTTTGCCAGACCCTGTGAGGCTTTATAGGCTCTACCTAAGATGTTTCTTTGTATTTCACATACCTCAGATTATATTTAATATATTTACAACTATAGATAATTATAACGCTTGGGTTTAATTTTTATTTTCAAACAGTTTCTATGCATTTTTGTTGAACCCTGCTACAAGACTTAGTTGTCCTTGTTAAATTTCATCTTGTTAAATTTAGTCTATGTTTAGTTTGTCTTCCAGTTTATTAGGCAACCTTTCCTGCTTCAGGTCAGGCATAGCCTCCTGAGTATGCTGCTACATTCCTCATCATGTCACTGATGGCACTGTGAATTGGCGGGGCCAGGGTGGGATGTTGGGGCAGGACTAGCAGCATCCTCTAGAGGTCCCTGCTCTTTGTGTATGTGTGTGTGTGTATGTGTGTGTGTGTGTGTGTGTGTTGCAATGTTTAGAACATTTTATTAAAGTACAAAATTGTTGGAAATAAATAGGCTAATAGGCCTACTAGCCTATTAGCTAATAGGCTAAATAGACAAACACAGTAAATATTTACAAAAACATTGATAACATCACTTAAGTCGCACACATGTAATGGTGCAGAAAGGTCTCAAAGTGGATCTAATGGTTGCCTGGTGAGCACGGCAGCAATATCATATGTAAGCTCTTGGGCAAATGTTCTTCCCCACTCTGGCGCAATCCTGTGTTCCCTAGGAATCTGTTTTTTGGGAGAGTTAGAGCCAGAGGCAGTCAGAGAGGACAAGTCAAGAGTTGAGATAGTCATCTAACTGGTCTACTTTTCTTCTTCCCGTTGACTCTGTCAAGGTTATATAGCACAGCGAAGGCATTTTTCTCCAGCCTCTGTGCTATCCAAAAGGATATGAGGGATAAGAGCACTTTCTCATTGCTTGAACAAAAACTCAACAAATAAAAGGCAGGGGGCCAGCAGTTAGCATAATGGCTATGTTGCTGGACTCCCACGTAGTCGACTGCGGTTCAAGTCCGGGACCCGGTGGCTTAAACTCAAGCCGGGCGCGTGTGCGTGCATGCCCAGGATCCCGAGAGGAGAATGGAGGAGAAGGGATTGAGGCGTGGCCATCCCCCGGGGGGTGATTTCTTGCTTTCTGTCTCTCTGTCTGTCTGGCTGGCGAGCGCACATGCCCTATAGCAAAAACCTCTCAAAAACAAAACAAAAATAAAAGGCAGAGTGAAGAGTATTTGCACTGGAACTATATAAAGATCTATCTAATGAAAATTACCTACATAAAACTAAGATAAAATAATTAATCATGCTCTGTCTCAAATGTAATGAAAGTAGGAAAGGAGGCGGTGACATTTAAAAATCACAGCACTGCAGTTCTAGTTTAATGAATAGCCAATATTACAAACCATTGTTGAAGTGACTACATAACTATCTCTAGAGTCCAAAACTCAAAACCAGATTTTAAAGACAAAAGAAAACAGGGGCTGACAGGTGACGTGATGGTTAGAGGCGCTGGATTCCCATATGGTCAACTGTGGTTTAAGTCCCAGACCTGGTGGCGTGCTTACTTTCTATCCCTTTCTCTTACCAAATTAAAAAGTAATAACAAATGGAATTAAGTAAATAAATAACTCTTTTTAAAAAAAGACGAAAACAGACTCAAAACAAAGACAAGACAGAGAGAAATCAATGCTCATGAAATAGTTACTTTTAGATAGTGTCATAAAAAGCAGGAGGATATTTGGGTTCTACTCACTTCACCTTGATGGTTCTGTATTTAAAAATACCTCCCCCAAACTAAACTCACAGGGGAGGAAATTAAGAGCTTCAGGTAACTTTAAAACCAGTCTTGGGCTCAATAAGACTACTATTTAAGAAAACCACTTCACATTTAAAACAGATCATCTTCATCCAACTCCTCGAGGTTACTTTACAGGGTTCTTTGACCATCCAGATTTAGCCGAAGGAGATACAGCTGAGTCCAGGTAGAAGTGCTCACTCTCCCTCTTGGATTTCTTGCTTGTGATTGCTTTAGAAGCAATTTTCTCAAAACGAGAGCCAGAATCATCAGAAGTGGATGGTTTCCTTTTGTGACAATTCTTGGTTTTGGCAGGTTCAGGTTTTTGAGAGGCATCAGACTTCAAGGTGGGATCTCTTTTGCTTCCTTTGGAGCAGCCTTTTTGGTACCAGTAGTAGAGGTAGAAGATGGACCTTTTGCTTTCTTCTTCACCGTCACATTCTTTTTAGAAATTGGGTTTATATCTTCAGTTTCAGCAGGGAAATCAGTAGCAGGAGGGCTTGAAGAAACAGGTACACTCTCCTTAGCACCATCAGCTTCAAGGTCCAGTACTGACACGGCACTTTTCTGTGACTTTGATTCTTTGGTAATATGCTTTTGGGAAGTTTTGGTCTTAGGTGGACTAGCATCTGATGGGACAAAATCTTCATCTTGAGTGTTTTCATCAAAATCTGAGAAATCATCATCTGAATCCAAATCCACTGTGGATTTGGTTTTTGCTGCTGCTCCTTATGGCTGTTTCTGGTCCCTGCTCATCATTAGCCTCCTCTGGGCCTGCTCTTTAACAAGCCTCAGTGTCAACACCCAGCCTACAGTTCTGAGGTGAATTATCAAATGCCCTGTTGAAATCATCATTTGCTATGTCTGCAGTATCCTCCTACCTGGTATTCCTACAAAAAAGAAAGATACTATGTAAATCTGGTGCCTTTTCTTTTTTCAACTGGTCACATTAAGCAATTTCAGTTAGTGCTCATTAAACTCACTGGTGTGTAGTTTTTCAACTCCGTCTTCTGTCCTGTGAAAATTCAGACACTGCCTGCCCTTTCATGATGTTCCACAATTTTCCCGTTCTTCCCAGGGTTTCAGAGGTGTAACTCACAGTGAGTTTATTACTTCCATTGTCTTGCTTAAAACTTACATTCAGCTTGGCAGATGATATGCCCATTTGTTTGTAGCCGTTAATTCATGGTGCAAAATTTTTGGCAGAGCCAGAATCACAATCATGCTTTCCTGAAACCCACTCAGATGAATATGGGTTTTCTGTCATATCTCACCTTCTTGTGATACTTAGAAATGCCTTGTAGGGACCAACAGTTGGTGTAATGGCTATGGCGCTGGACTCCCATGTAGTCGACTGTGGTTCAAATCTCGGGCCCTGTGATTTAAACTCACGCTGGGCGCGTGTGCGTGTGTGCCCAAGATCCTGAGAGGAGAATGGAAGAGGGATTGTGGTGTGGCCATCCCCCTGGGGGGTGATTTCTCACTCTCTGTCTCTCTGGTGAGCACATGAGCCCTATAGCAAAAAACCTCTCCAAAATAAATAAATAAATAAATAAATAATGCCTTATAAAGTTAGCCTGCTTCTGTAGAGAACAGTGAGAGATCTCAGGTAGAGGCCTCACCTAAAATTCGGCTTAATAGGTGGAATGTATTTTTTTTCTTTCTTTCTTTTCTTTTCTAAGGTTTTTGCCATAGGGCATGTGTACTTGTCAGAGAGATGGGGCAGGCGATGGGGTGAGGGGGGGAGTTGTTGGGTCCAGGACTTGAATTGCAATCGACCATGTAGAAGTCCAGTGCGTTAACCACTATACCAACAATGTAGTTTTTTCTTCCCTCTTATTCCAAGACTGCATCTCCCTTTTCTCCTCTGCTCCTTCCTCTTTCATATCTCCTTTTCTCCATTTTCCCCCTTTGCTTTTTCTTTTCACCTGGAAGAAAGGAAATCAAAGCTGCCTATTTGGAGCCAGTCAGGAGGGGACTGGTTAAGGAGGCTGGAGTCCATGTGGCCTGATCTCACATGGCTCAAGGTGGAAGTCCTAGACTGGGTGGCTTGAAAAACACCTGAGTCCATGTGCTTTTCTGCCCCAAATCACAACATGAGACTGGAGAAGAGATTGCTGATTGCCCCTTCCTAAGAGCACACTCACCCTTGAACAATAAAAAAAAAACGTTCCCTGTTCTGATGTCATACACTGGTTCCTGGGAAATATCATTTAAAAAACCCTGCTAATGGAGAAAAGTGCATTGTTCATGGAACTAAAGATCACTTCCTCACAGTCTTAACAGGGTTTATGAAAGAGGAAGTGAAAAGCAGAATGTTATGAGGATTTGGGGGTCCTTTAAGATTTTTTTTTTAACGTTTTGTCATAGGGCGCATGTATTTCACAGGAGAGAGACAGATGGTGACAGTGGGAAAGTGAGAAATCACCCCCATAGAGGGATGGCCAAGCTGCAATCTCTTCTACTCTTGGGATTTGGGGAACTCACCCACACAAGCCCGGTGTGCCTGTCGACCATGGGGAGTCCAGCACCGTAATCACCAACCACCGTGCCACCTGTTGTCCCCAAAGGCTGTCTTTCAATGCACAGCTTGATTAGGATTAGGCCCAATTCACTGCATAATAGTTTAAGACTGGTAAGATTGGATGCTATTTTTAGTACTGGGTCATTGGGCAGGTTTCTTAAACTTCCTGAGCATCAGGTTCTTTGTCTGTAAAAGGGCTAGGTAAGATTCGGTGAAATACTGTGTGGCGCGGTCCGCGTCCGTCTCATCCCAAAGCCTGGGCTTTCCCGGTGGGTGCAGCGGGACTGCAGTACCAACAGCACTGCAAGAACAGCAGGCGAGGCACGGTTCGAGGCTGGCTCCCGGGACGCTGCGCTGCGCCACTCGGCCGCCAGAGGCCGCCGGCGCGCCCTCGATCCGGGC